AGTTATTATTAATACCATAGGAATATAACTTAAACAATAATTATAATGTAAACTCATTACTATTATAATTCTTTGCTTTTAATAGTAATTTTAATTATAACTTAAACATTAAATATAACAATATAATTTGTTGAAAAATTGGATATTACATTGATATAACCCTCGTGCTACTTTCAGTGAAAGCAGTAAAACCCAACCTCTTGAACTTGTGGGCTTCTTTCAACGAAAGCACTAAGACCCTGCCTCTTAAACCTACGGGTTACTTTCAATGAAAGCATTAAGACCCAACCTCTGAAACTATGGGTTACTTTTAATGAAAGCAGTAAGACCCAACCTCTTAAACATACAGGCTACTTTCATTGAAAGCAGTAAAACCCAACCTCTTAAACCTACAAGCTATTTTAAGTGAAAGCAGTAAGATCCTACCTCTTAAACTTGTGGGCTACGTTCAATGAAAGTAGTAAGACCCAACCTAAACCTAAAACTATAGGCTACTTCCAAGAGAAGCCGTAAGACCTAATGTAGTGGCTACTTTCAATGAAAGTCATAAGCCCTGACTCAAACCCAAACATTTAGGCTACTTATAATATAGAAGCCGTAAGACATACCCAAACGTTCAAGCCACTTTCAAGTGAAGTCGTAAGACCTACCTAAATTTACGGGCAACTTCTAAGTGAAGTCGTAAGCCCCAACCCAAACCAAAACATCATAGCAATTAAACCTACATCTATTCACTTTAGTTTACTCGGGATTCCTGAGAGGAGGCAACCCTTGGGTGCTAATCAGATTCATTGGACACTATGATCAATAATTATTATTATTGGTAGACTGAAATCTACGATATTCCAGGGACGACGGAACCATGAGATCTTGATCGGATCTACCTACATCCCCCACAACCAAGATTAAAACACTTGCACTGTTGCATATCTAAATATTAATTCATCCTTAATCGAGAGTTATCTTCTATGCGATAGGAGGGTTAATTAACTATGAGGTCTTGCATTCATAGGAAGTAAGGACCTGGATCTATATAAACCCTGATACCATTATCAGTAAAAAATTGGTTAACAACAAACTACCTTAAGGAGAATGAAATCTTATGGCTGCAAAGCAGAATTCATGCCCGTGCGCCATTGTCTCTTAGCAAACATTAGGACTCTCTATTGTGCGTCCCCACACAATAACAGTGTGATGTTGACGGTTTATGAAAAGAAACTAGAAGCAATGCATCAAGAAAGATGCTATAGTTTGATTATTATTAAGGGCTATTTGGTTGGTTGAAAAAGGAATGTAGTATAAAAGTTGCATTGTATTTGAAATACTGTAGAGTTGTTTGGATGAATTTAAAGTACATGAAAGTGATTATTTATTTAATTATTTATGGCTTGAAGTAAAATGAATGCAATCTAAAGTCCAAAGATGATGGCGGTGATGGGTGCTGATCGGTTGCAACAAGTGATGGCGCTCGGCGATGGTGGGTGTTAGTGGCAGGTGACAGAGGATGGTGGTGCCTAGTGTTGGCAAGTGGTGGCGGCGGCATACGAAGAGTGGTGGTGGCATACCGTGGATGGCCGGCAATGACAAGGTAGCTTGTTGCAATGAAAAAGGAATTCAACCAAAACTAGTAGAGTTTATTATTCATAAAAAATGAACTTAAGAGTGAAAATGAATTCATTGAATTTCACAATGCATTCATTTTTCATCCAACTGAATACCAATATTTTCAAAACTCCTACATTTGGAATATTTTAGATCCACTTTACTTCAAACCAAATATCCCCTAAGAATACTATTGGCCGAGCTAGGAGCTGATATAAATCCCAACAAATTTGTGTCTCTAATTTGGGTAGATGCAACCATATAAATATCGAAATCAACCAGATAATAAAAGCTATGGTTTAATCCATTGAACAACCATTTGGAGATGGATGCAAAGCAAATTTAGGGGATTTCCATTAAAGTTTATTAATCATTTGCTAACTCGAGTGTTCTAATATTACTTTGTTCTTGAGGTACCAATTAGATTTATTGCCTATTCCTCAATATTCTCACTCAAAAAAGGAAAAGGCTTCATAACTTCACAGTTTAATGTCCTGCCTAAACTGGTTCTATTGTGTGGCTTAATGTGTCACTGGTGTTGCATATGCTACACAGTGCCAGCTATTGACACTTGGCAGAGCTTGAAAGAATATTGCACATGCTTTGCATGTATTTGGATATTTTATATGGGTTTGGTTAAACATGACTAAAATCTAGTGTTGTACCTGCATGTCTCAAAATTGTATGATGAGGTTTATTCCAATCACAATTACAAAATTTTCATGTTTAACTGTTGCAAAGATGAGGATGCTCAGGTGGATGAGTGGCTTTACACTTAACGACAAAATGCAAAACTAGTATATATGTGAAAAGGTTGGAGTAGCTCCACTGACAGATAAGATTAAAGAGAGTCATCTTAGATGGTTTGGTCACATAAAACGTTGACCTTTCAATGAACCAGTTAGGAGAGGAGATGTTTTAGATTTGACCTATATTAAGAAAGGTAGAGAGGTGGACCTAAATGGACTTATTTAGAAAGTATTATAAATGACTTTTTTTGTATTATATCTGAATGAGAATTTGACTCTTAGTATGATACAATAGAGATAAAAGATTCATGTAGCCAACACCGTGTAGACTTGATGTTGTTGTTTTTGTTGGTTTGCAAGATTGGTTTCCTTAGATGGATATATTTGCCTAATGATTTGTGTCTGTTTGTAAATCATTGAGTTTCTACCAAGCCCTTCTTGCAGTTTTCTCATGCATTTTTTCTCTAACTCCATTTTTATATAATTTTGAATGTTTGATACTTGTGCTGTAGGTATCACGTAACCAATTTTTTCGCACCTAGTAGTCGCTTTGGAACTCCTGATGATCTCAAATCACTTATTGATAGAGCACATGAGCTTGGTTTACTTGTTCTCATGGATATTGTGCACAGGTGAATAAAATTTCACAAATGTTCAATGCGATCATTTATGGATTTCTAATTGTAATTGCTCCTATCTTTTGTTTCTTATCTTTTCCATTGACAGAAGGGTCATCCGTGCATTGCTATAGCTATATGTGCACCTTTTTTAAAATATATTTTCATTTATACTTTGCATGACATGAGTTGTCTTGGAGATTTGGCAACGGGTGGATACCCGTACAATGCTGATAGCTCATAATATTGGCAAATTAAGTCCGGATCCTATCCATGGAAGCAAAATGAAAATGCTTAGTGGAAATTCTGTTGGATATTGCTTTTGTCTGCTCTTGATGACCTCAAGATAATTTGGTCGGTGGCTGTGAGAATTTTTGGTGGCTGGATTGTGAAGGTTGTTGAAGCTAAATATTTGTTTCTTTAGTTAAGAAAGATGAAGTCACTGCAGATCATCTTCATGTTTACACTTTAAACCGAAGGTGTCTTTAACTAAACAAAATAAATAACTGGGCTTTAAGAGAACTTGCTCTGGCTGTATTATCCTGTATGGTATTCCAATTTTTTGAAATTCTTCTTTCTGTAATGTTAGGGAAAGTTTTGAGATCCATGCTTCAATGTCTTTGCAATGCTTCAGAGTGATAACATAGCATGATTTCTATGAAATTTGAAACATTCAATAAATAACTGACGCGTCTTTCTGTGTGTTCCCTTTTAAGCATAAGTAGCTTTTATCTGAGAAGCTGAAATTTTTTTTAGTATTAAGTTCTTTCTTTCCAGCATAATTCTTTTCATATCTAAAAGAAATTGTGGCCCTCATACTTCTCTTTCTCATTTTCCCCTTTTTGGTTTTCTGGCTCATCATGTTTTCAGCCATTTTCATCTCGCTTTTCATATTCTTTTTATTTGCTGATTTTTTCTTTTTTTAGCTTTTGTAATTTAAGTTATTTACCCATATATATATATGCCTTCCCTTGGGATAATCTATTGGTTTGGCGGCATTTATGAAACGCTCTATCAGGTCAATACCTTTGGTCCAATCATTAACTCTTGAACCATTAAAGATTTGTTTTCTGTTGATGCTATTTAATTTACTAGTTTGAGTTTCCATCATCAAATCTAGCGATAATATTGTAATAAAAAAATATGCCTTTGAGTTGTCTTGATTAATTATAAAACTTTTCATTTTAATTGAAAATAGGCATGAACATTGAAGTCAAAGTCTCATAAGCTCACATTCTTTACATTCCTGTTGAACAGAAAAAGAACAATCGACGAACAAACCTCTTTTCTTTATCTAATTTCCAACTCTAAAAATTAGGTTGCACGATTTATTCTCCTTATATGATTTCTAATTCCATCAAATTCCGCTTCCAATTTCAACTTCATTGGAACAATCGCAGTGATTTCCTCTTCCTCCTATCCTTCGACCTCCATCAAATAGAATTGAAAAGGTCATATGACTAGCCGCTCCCTCACATTCTCTATACTCGTTTGAACCAACCCAAACTTTTTCTATCGTCCTCTTCAATCAACACTATTGAACAACCCTTCATCCGTGTTGAATAGAAACAGAACAAACATTTCTTCTTCCTCTTTGAGTCCATCAAATAGATTGCCACTGCACAGTTCTTCTTCCTTCATCTTTGTCGAATAGGGGATGAAAAAGAACCATACACAATTTTGTCTTCTTTCTTTGGTTTCACATGAACACATCTTCTCTATTTCCTCGGATCGAAGCCACCAAACCGTGCCTTAGAATGCTAACCCTTTTTCTTTTTTTATTTTATGTTGATCAAAGCCGCAGGAGGAGGAATGCCCTTCCGCACAAGCCCGCAAGCCTTTGTCCTACTGAATTGATTGCACTTGACTTGCCTCACCTTCACTCGTTGCTTGAATACAAAAGGCTGTTTGGTTAATCCAATTTGATTAGCTTTTACATTGTCAGTTTTCTTTGTCATTCTCTACTCCTTTTTGATCGAAGAAGTTTTGTTCAATGATGTGTAAGTATTGTGCTCTACTTATCACACCATATGTGTGCCCTATTGCTTACTAGTGATAATAATTCCTTATTAATTTTTGAATTAAATTGTTATAGATTCTTTTAATTATTTTGATCTGTATGATGGTTGTTAAATAGTACAATATTATGTAGTATTTTTTTTATGATGCAGTGCTTCAAGTAATTGAAGCACACGCCATGTCTGTGCTTTAAATTTCAAAGTGAAACATGCTTTTTGCATCATATTGCATTTTATATTGAGCATTGTACATGAACTTTTTTTTTTCAGATAAAGCTTATGAATTTATGCTTTATAAAAGATTGAGTTTCAGGTCAACATATGGAACATGTTTCTTCTTTTACATGAAACAAATACAAATACCAAATATGCTCTATTCAAAAAAAGGGAAAAAAAAGTCAAAACAATGTCAGCGAAAATGAAGAGTGCAATTTTGAAAATTTCATATGTAAAATATCTTGTATTAGTTTATCTAAGGTTTGTAGATATGAAAGTTTATGAGTTAGATAACTTTATAGCATTTTCATTAAAATATGCTCAATACATATCTGTCAACCCCCCCTCTCCCGCACTAGCTCGCATGAACACCTCTTCTAAATCAGCAAACCTTGCCTTAGCAAGAGAACTCCTTTTCTTTTTTATTATCAAAGCCACAGGAGGAGGCATGCCCTTCTGCACAAGCCCACTCGCCTCACCTTCACTCGTTGCTCGAATACAGAAGACTGTTCAATTAAACCGATTTGGTTAGCCCTTTCATTGTCAGCTTTCTATGTCACTCTTCATTCCTTTTTGATCGAATAAGGTTTGTTGAATGATGTCTAAATATTGTGCTCTATTTGTCACATCAAATGAGTGCCCTATTGCTTACTAGTGATAATAATTCCTAATTAATATTTGAATTAAAATATTATAGATTCTTTTCATTATTTTTATCTGTATGATGGCTGTTAAATAGTACAATATTATGTAGCATTTTTTATGAGCAGTGCTTCAAGTAAATGAAGATGTGCTACATTTCAAAGTGAAATATGCTTTTTGCATCATATTGCGCTTTGTACATGAACTTTTTTTTAGCAAATAAAGCTTATGAATGCATGTTTTATAAAAATAAATGATTGAGTTTCAGGTCAACATCTGGAACATATTTCTTCTTTTACATTAAACAACCACGGTAAAAATCTAACCAAACAGCACGTCGTCCACATCACCCACTTTGTGGTGAAACAATTGTTCTTTGATTCGTATAAAACAATGGAGAAATGAATGAAGAGGGGTTACGCTTACTTACAATCAATTTTTAGTTGGAGTTCCCATTCCCTTTTGGGCCCTCGTCAATCTTCTGTGATTCCTGCACAACAGTCGCACCTTCCATCAGCTTCAATCTCGAGGCACGAATAAGACCCAAGCTCGCATGAGCATTGTCGCGCCTCTGCTTCGTCCTGCGAGGTCACTCCGTCGATCTCCTGCACGAACTCGTGTTCCTGCTTCCGCCTACCCATGCACGTGTTGACCTCTCCAATCCTTCGGCTTACCACTTTCGATCCCTCGCCCATATTCCATAACCCAGCCGAACCTCCACCTTTTCTGTCTGTTCTATTCTGCGCAAGGAAGCCGCACGATCCACGATTGACGGCCCAAACCGATCGGATCTCCCTCCCCCTATTCCTCACGCAAGATCCGCACGAACTGCCTGCCTGATTTGGTTGCCCGCTCGATCCACCTCCTATGAAGTAAAATCTTGAAATAGTAAGTGAGAAGGGATTATTTCTATGTAATAAAAATTATTATTATTGTTAATAATAATAATAATAACTATTAGCAAGTAGGCATCGCAATAGCCAATCGAGGGGAGGGGGGAGGGGAGAAGATGTATACCGGGGTCGATCCTTCCCCCGAAGCCCTCAATCGTCGATTTTGATCCGATCGAGCGTACCTAAAAGGACAATTGCAAGGAGGGGGCGTTGAAAGGTTTCCAAAATTTTGAGAAATGTCGAGTTACTAAATTCCTTTCAATTGGAGGACCATAAGACCTATATTGGGGTTGATTCATCCTTCGAAGCCCCCGGCCGTCGAATCCTATATGGCTGAGCGGGTTTGAAAGGGGCTTCCCATCCCTGGGATGGGATGCCAGGAGGTTGTTGAAATTATGCCGAGAGGCTGTCGAACTTGCAATTCGAGAGCTTCAATTTAAAAATTTGAAGTATTAATTTTAAAATTTTAATTAAACTAAATTTTAAACTAATAATAACAAAATTAATCCATTGTAATTCAACTATAATTTAAATTTAATTATATATTTAAACTTCATAATTTAAAACTTTAAAATTAAACTAACCTAATTAAAATCTAATTAACAATTAATTTAAAACTTAATTTTAATTTACTAATAATAAAATTAAAATCATAACTCTATATTAAAAACTAAATATTAAATTAAATTTAAAATTAAGTAAACCAATAAAGAACAAAAAACAATAAAAGAACAAAAAACAAGGGGAGAGCCATCTTTGTGAAAATTATGCATTTTTTACAAAACAATAAAAAACTAAAACATTCAATGTTTTCTTGCTATACAAACCTATGCACAACCAACCAAACTATCCACCAAATTTACTAAAACTAAAACACAGTAAACTCAACACAAGAAAACTTCCTAACCAAATCTAAGGCTCTCCAAGCTCCATGCTCCTAGCAAGCTCTAGCTTAAGTAACCCTAAAAGTTGCAAACCTCCAGTTCCTCAACTGCTACTACAAACACCACAAAACAAGGAAAACAAAAGTAGCCATAGGTGGATTAAACAAAACTAGTACTTAAAAAAGAAAAAACTATTACTGAAAAAAGAAAAAACTAGCTACTGAAAGAGGACCAGTTACTAAAACAAAACTAGACAAGAAGGACTATACTGCGATCAAATACACTCTAAAGGCAAAAATATATAAGTGTTAAGCACTAGAAACCACAGTTGTTGACATAAAATACACTATTAGTTGTAGACAAGGCACTAGCGCTTAGCGTTGGTGTGAAGGCAGTGAAGCATGTAAAACTAAGTATCTGCTTCTAAAGCTCTGTAAGCTAAATCCCCGCTTACCTAAGTCCATCCCGCAACTTCTAATAGAGGTCATAAGTCCGAATTTAGTTTATGCGTTAGTGGAAATCTCTAGTTAAAAGTATTCTAACCCTAAATCCTACATAAGGGCTGCTTGGCTTATATGGCTAGGTTGTAAGACTCACTTTCATGCTACTTCTAAATACATAAGCTGTAAGACCTACCAAAATAACCAAGCATTTTCCAAGGGAAGTTGTAAGACCTGCTATTTGGGAAACTTATACAAGAAGTAATAAACATTCAACCAAACAATCAGGCAACTCATAATAGAGCCGCAAGATCTGTCCAAAAGTGAAACCTCGGGTTACTTCCAAGGGAAGCCATATGACCCACCATACGGACTACTTCCAAAAGAAGTCATAAGACCCACCATACGGACTACCTGGGATGACAGAATCATGGGATCTTGATCAGTTTTACCTTCATTTTTTCCTCAACTGAGACTAAAACACATTATATTATTCATCCTTAATCGAGAGTTCTCTTTTACGTAGTAAGAGGGGTAATTAATTATGAGAGCTTGCCCTCATAGGAAGTAAGGACTTAGATCTAAATAAACTCTAATACTATCCTCAGGGAAAATATGATTAACTACAATATGCCTTAAGGAGAATAGAATCCTATTACTGCAAAACGGGGTTTATGTTGACGCACCATTTTCCCTGAGTGAAACACAAATACAAATGCCAAATGTGTTCTGTTTATAAAAAAAAGGAAAAAAAAAGGTCAAAACAATGACAACAAAAATAAAGATTTAGATTTTGAAAATTTCCTATGTAAGATATCTTGTAATAGTTCATCTAAAGCTTGTAGATACTAAAGTTTGTGAGTTGGATAACTTTATAGCATTTTCATATAAATAGGTTCACTGCATATTTGTATCCTCCCAGCCCGCATGAAACCATTTTTTTTGTAGTAGGTGTCGTTTAATTTGAAGAATGCATTAGTCCCCTTAAAATTCAACACCAAGTCAACATATAAGAAACAAGAAAAATCATGTTTTAGTATTGTGCTTTTCTTATGTTTATATTTTGAATTTTTGGACGGGTAAAGCATTATTCTAATTTGAATTTAAATGATATTAACTCATTCAACTTTCATTGATCCAGTCATGCATCAAATAATACCTTGGATGGTTTAAATCACTTTGATGGGACAGACACTCACTATTTTCATGCTGGCTCACGTGGTTATCATTGGATGTGGGATTCTCGTCTTTTCAACTACGGGAAATGGGAGGTATGGTATATTCCCATGAACTTCATTTTGATGGCTATGCGTTTCAGCCATGTGCTTTTCTTTTCTCTTTTTAAACGCTTTGAGATTTCATGGATTCTGTCTTTTCTTCTAGGTGCTTAGGTTTTTACTCTCAAATGCAAGATGGTATCGGCTGTGGAGGAGTACAACATTTGATGGCTTTTAGATTTGACTGGTGTGACATCAATGATGTATACTCATCGTGGCTTAGCAGGTTAGAAAACTATCCTGTACGATAACAGTGTACTCAAAATTTGGCATACCTGATTGCCGGACTAAGTCGTTGATCATGTTAAACTGCAGAGCATTTAATTTTCATATGACATTTTGTATGCCTATATAGGAGTAGTGCTTTCTTTGTGTGTGTAGCCTAATTGGTTTGCTTATATTGTCTATATATACATATAGAGATTACTTGAAGGCAGATTTTTTAGAAGAATAAGAAAATAAAGGCTTTTGTCTGTTTATTTTGAAATTCTTGTATCCTAAGATTTCGATCTTGGGTGGTGGGTTCTTTCTCCAAGAGGAGTTATTGGAGACTTGCTCCAGCTGACGCTCACTGGATCGTCGACGTGGATTCGTCGGCCCCCTCCGGTCCGGTGTCAATACCTTCCCTTTTGGTCGTTCAAGTGCTGACATGATCATACAGATATCTTAGAATGTAGTCTTCTCCAATGGTTTCTGAGTTTCCTACCTTTATAATGGTCCTCCAGTTAGCCTCACTCTTCAGGATAAAAAATGAGTTTTTTTTCCTTGCAAACAAGAGTCCGTTAAACATATAAAAAAAGGACTATCCATTTAATAGATATGCGTTTCTTTGCCGTTTGTTTCATGAATTGCCTGGATCTTCTACAAGCACCTTATTGATGTCTGCCAGTGTTGGATTCTATGTCTTCAATATCTATTTTTTTTGTACTTTATTTCAGGTTAGCATTTTACTGGGAACTACAGTGAGTATTTTGGTTTGGCGGCTGATGCAGATGCTAGATAGTTTTATTTGATGCTTGTGAATGATGTTATTCATGGACTAGACCCTGAGGCTGTTAGCATTGTGAAGATGTGAGTGCAATTTTGTTTTCATTTTTATGTTTAGACACCTGATACGTGGCAAGGATCCTTGATGGCATTGCTTTCAGTTTATTTCTGATTTCTATGGTAAGCTTTTGAATGTATTATGGGTGTATGGTAAAGATGCTCTTGTTTCATCAATGCTGTTTGGTGGTTGTTGAGCATTGAGCACAGGAATTCCTATTTTTTACCTCATGCGCTGTTTGTGACATCTTCCTCCTTGCTGATGGATTGCATGTTTATTTTTTATTTTCTGCTATAAATATTTCGGTTTGAATAGCTAACAACAACAACAATAATAAATCTTTATTATTGTATCTTTTTTCTCCATTGTGTTCTATTAAGAGTCAAATTTTCATTTAAATCAATAAAAAAATCATTTTTAATACTTTCTGAACAAGCCTTTAGAGGTCTACCTCCACCTTTCTTAGCATAGGTCAGATCTATTAATCTACTCTCATAACAAGGTCATTAGAAGGCCAATATTTTATGTGACCAAACCATCTAAGGCGAGCCAGTCTAATCTTATTTTCCATTAGAGCTACTATGACCTTTTCTTGTATATACTTGTTTCGCATTCTGTCTCCGAAGTGTAAAGCCACTCATTTACCTAAGCATCATATCTGTAACACTTAATTATTTACAGCATCTGTATCGGATACTGCACGTGTTGAACACGCCAAGGACGTGTTTGATTAAAAATATTAAAAAAAATTGGACAGCATGTCCAACACATATCTTAAATATTTTATGAAAATTTTGTTAAATATAATTTCTTGTACTTCAAATTTTTTATTAAAAAGTAAATTAAATTTCTTATTTTCTCTCTGCAACCCTAAATCAATTGTTCGTACTCAATATCCTATTCTTTGAACATTACCATTTTCATTTTTCTCTAGCGGGTTATGGCTTGGGTCACAATTACGCATGATGCCATCTCTCCAGCTCCATCACGAAATCAATATTTTCAAACCATCTCAACATTGAAGTTTGATAATATCTTGAAATTAATGCTCAACACCAATAATTTCTACACCCATAATCACACCCCCGCCCATCTTGACATCTAATCTAGCCTGATACATTCCTTCACTTCAACCATCCAACTTAAATTCTACTAATAATATCACTATCTATTTCACCATTATTTAAAGTCACTTTATATATCTTTAATGACTCAAATATAAGCTTTATTAACTTTTTATTTTCCTAGAACTCTCCAAATCACTTTTCTTGGAACTTTATCATATGCTTTCTCTAAATAAATTAATATCATATGTTGATCCTCCTTTCTCTCTCCATATTTCTCCATCAAAATTCTCAATAAATGTATACTTCCATAGTAGATCTACCCAGCATACTAATCACATGCAGTTGAACAAGCTATTGTATTTATGTATTTTTATTATTTTATAATTAAAAATCAGCTTTTTCTTAAACACTCTTTGTTGAGCTATAATCAATGCATGAGCTTCTAATATATAGAATTCGATACTTTGATTAATTAATTGGTCCTTTTATGTTTGTGTTTGGTAATTGCACCGCAGCATTTCCATCTTTTTGTTAATTTGTTCTACTAATGACTGACCTTTGCTAAATAATTTTGCCATTGTCGAATTAGTATAGACATCTTTAGGTATTATGGACTAACCTTAACGGCACATATTATTTTAAATCCTCGGCTCTACACACCTCTATGCATCTGATGCTATTTTATTTCTCAATATTACTGGCATTTAATGAAAATTTTTGGCTCATAGCTATGGTGGAATTTAGATCTGAATGCTTAGTGTCTTTAGTGCTCCATGGCAATTTCTTATACATTTGAAGCAAGTGTGTTTAAATAATATGCTGTATTTCTTGCTAATAGATTGCTTGTTTATCATTTACACCTGCATATTTCTTATTTATTATCTCCATGAAGTGCTGATGCTCTTTTTTGTTGTAGACATGTTAACTGTCGAACGGCCCCACTCGCAACTGCCCAATGCCCATGTTGGTAAAATTGAAAGCGCAGGTCACCCTATCTACACGTTCACGAAGTAACTACCACTTTTCTTGTAAAAACAGCAAGAAAACGAAATGGAGGGCTTACACTTAGTTTCAATCAAAATCCCGGCTGCTCTCAATTCCTCTCGACTCTTGAATTCGAACCTTGCTCTTTATTGAGGCATTCACGCTAGACCGCGCCTTCGGCTTCCTCACGCGAACAACAATAGGCCGTTCAGCCCCATTCGTTTGCTCCTGTTGGCCTCTCTCACGCGAACAAATCGTAGTACCCACACCACACGTCCGCCTCCTTCCACACGCAAATAGCCCTTTTACACCTGAGAACTCGAAGCAAAGCCTTCAGCCTGCCTCCGATCTCGCCTTCAAGGAATTGCCCGCCTCCCTCATGATCTTCCTATTTCTTGATTTAAGCAGCGAGTGAGTGAATAAGGAAGAGAGGGATTATATATATATATATATATATATATATATATATATACTCTTCTGGGAGGGGATGTTGGGAGGCTGCCGAAATTGTCCCAAAAAGCTATCAAATTTGCCTCAAGAGCTTGCCGAACTTCTAGGAATTGTTGGAGAATAATTCATTAATTTTGTTAATAAACTAATTAACTTTAAATTGATTTAATTTTGAAGTTAAAACTCTCATTTAAATTAATTTATTTTAATTAATTATAAATAAAATTAAAATTTATATAATTAATCAATTTTAAATGAAATTTAATTAATTGAATAATGTAAAAATCAGATTGAACAATTAATTTAAAATTTAATAATTAATTAAATTGAAATAAAAATTATAATTAACTTAACCATTTAATTTAAATTAAATCTTTTAATTGATTAATCAATTTAAACTAATCAAATTATTGGATAATAAATTTAAAACTTAATTTAAATAATTAAGTAATTTTAAACTCATTTTTAATATTTAAAATATTAATTAATGAGCTAAGAAGTTATTTTAAAATAAATTTTAAATCATTTAATTAATTAAATTAAAATTAAATTTTACTTATGTTAAGAAAGGTAGAGGTAGACCTAAAAAGTCTTGGTTAGAAAATATCAGAAATGACCTTTATTTATTAGATATAAATGAGAATTTGGCTCTTAACAGGATACAATAGAGAAAAATAATTCATGTAGCCGATTCCACGTAGTGGGATAAGTGCTTGATGTTGTTGTTGTTGTATTTAGTTAATTAACAATCTAATTAATTAATGCAACTAAGTTAAAAAAAATAAAAGAAATGCATTAAAGAACAATGTTCACACTATCAACCTAAAAGAACTTACACCAACTAAATTCCAAAACTCCTATAGCTAAAGAAAATAGAAAAACTTAAAGAAAAGCTCCAAAATCTTAACCTAAACCCCTCCAGCTCTTGGTAAGCTATAGCTCCTAGTAAACTCTGCAGTTGTAAGCTTCAGCTCGTGCAACTGCTAGTCACAAATACTTGCAAATAAGTAGATGAAAGTCAGTGCAGGGTAAACAAAACTAATACTGGAAATAACATAGTAGGTACTAAAATAAACATATACTAAAACAAACAGGTATTGAACAAACAAGTAAAGCTACTACTACAAGTAAAACTAGTGCAAAAGAAAATTAGAATTGTGGGCAAAATAAAGTGTTGAACTAGCAACGGTACTAAAGCAAAAAAGACAAGTTATTGAAGTAGGAAAGCTACGAGCACGACTACAAGCAAAACCACGGTAAACTACTGAAAGCTAGGGGAAAAAACCTCTGGTGTCTGACGGTAGGGTGTGTAACTCCTCAAAAGCTAGCCTAATAGACAACTACTAGCTAAAGTAGGATAAACCCCAGTTAAATTAATGCACACAACCTCCCAAGGGGAGTTATGAACCCTCTGAAGGGGAGCAACAAATCCTCCAAAGTGGAGTAATCAACGTCTCAAACTAACGGGCCACCTTGCTTATAGGTCTAGGTTGTAAGATCCACCCACAGGCTACTTTCAAGGGAAGCCATAAGACCTAACTTTCAATGAAAGCAGTAAAACCCAACTTCTCAAACATACGGGCTACTTCTAAATGAAGTCGTAAGACCCGCTATACGAGCTACTTCTAAGGGAAGCAGTAAGACCCTCTATACAAGCTACTTTCAATAAAAGCCATAAGACCCGACCTTAAACCCAAACATACGGGCTTTTTCCAAGAGAGTATGTCAGACCTGCTACATGGGTTACTTTCAATAAACGTAGTAGAAGTACTTTGATCATTCGTGTGCATAATTAGATTATATCTCAAGTAAATGACTTCTTGTAAGGTTGTTATCTCTCTATTTAATTTACTTATGGATATTAAAACCGTTGTTATTTCATGATGTGAAAGGCTTTGAGAGATTAAAGCAGAGATATAAATTATCAAATGCTTTGTGTTTCCATAAGAACATGTTTGGTGTAGCAAAACTGAGAATACTAATATATGAGGAAATGGCTATGAAAAATGAACTTTGAGTGTTACAGACTTGCAGAAAAAGAGAGTCAATGAAACACCTCGCTTGGTTACACGGCATCAACAGTGATTAAATAAATTATGATTTTAGTGAATGCTACTTTTAATTTGAACTTGTGGCAAGGAAGGACTTATTGAGAAGCAAAATCAAGATGCATAGGATACAAACAAAGAGTAATTTTTTTTTTCTCGCTCTTTATGGCTGACAAAAGAAAGCTATCATTTTCTATAAGTTAGAATCCTTAATGGAGGAAGAATCATATTTGATGAGATACCCACCTATTTTTCTAGGTCAGTGGAATGCCAACATTCTGCATCCCTGTTGAAGATGGTGGCATTGGTTTTGATTACCGTCTTCAAATGGCAGTTCCTGACAAATGGATCGAAATTCTCAAGTAAGTCAATTTTTTATTGTCTTGTAAAATTGTTTTTCATGGCAGTTTTCTGGATGTTTCCTTTTTAACTTGTATGGTTACTTGTATTGGTGAGATAAGAGTTGTAGTAAGGCTGCTGTAAGTCACAATTCAATCCTTGTACAGAATCAGATTATGCCTTGAAGTAACCTGGATAACTCTTAATAGGATCAGAATCTCATGGGGTTAACCATCTAAATTGCCATTTCCTTGAAGTTATGCTCCAAGGCCACTAAAAGATAATTTAGTCCAGTTCTCCATTGCTTAAATTAGACAAAAACATCAGGTTATTTGCAGATACATAGTTTTTCACCAAAAAGAAAGACTAGATGAAAGACTTCATGATGTGATTTTTTCTCCGTATGATTTCTTCGAATAGTTCAACATCAAGCCTTTATCCCACTACGTGGGGTCGGCTACATGAATCCTTTTTCTCCATTGTGTCCTATTAAAAGCCAAATTCTCGTTAAAATCTAATAAAGAGAGGTAATTCCTAATATTTTCTAACCAAGTCTTTTTTAGGTCTACCACTACCTTTCTTAACATAAGTCAAATCTAATACCTCTACTCTCCTAATTGGGTCATCGGAAGGCCGCCATTTTATGTGACCAAACCATCTAAGGCGACTCTCTCTAATCTTATCTTCTACTGGAGCTACTCCAACCTTTTCACGTATATGCTCATTACGTATCCTATCTCTAAGTGTAAAGCCACTCATCCACCTGAGCATCCTCATCTCTGCCACGCTTAACTTAGTATTATGCTTCTCTTTTAATGGCCAACATTCGGCACCATAAAGCATTGCAGGCCTCACTACCATCTTATAGAATTTTCCCTTAAGTCTGAGGGGTACATTTCTATCACATAACAAGCCCGATGCATTCCTCAACTTCAACCATCCAACTTGAATTCTACTGATAATATCCCCATCTATTTCACCATCACTCTGAACAATAGATCCAAGATATCTAAAACGTGTACTCTTATTAATGAATTGATCGTCCAAAGTCACAATCCCCTCTCTAGGCCTATTACTACTAAAATTACACTCCATATATTCCGTTTTAGATCTACTCAAGCGAAAACCTTTAGACTCTAAGGTTGACCTCCATAATTCAAGTATACCTTCAACTCCCTCTATAGTCTTATCAACAAGAAGAAAATCATCACCAAAAAACATACACCAAGGTACATCCTCTTGCAAATGTCTAGTGAGAACATCCATGATTAAATCAAAAAGATATGGGCTTAAGGCTGATCCATGATGTAACCCAACTGAAATAGGGAAATACTTGGTCAATCCACCTTGTATTTGAACACAATTAATATCTCCTGCATACATATCTTTAATGATTTGAATATAAGCATTATTGACTCCTTTCTTTTTAAGAACTCTCCATAGCACTTCTCTTGGAACTTTATCATATGTTTTTTTCTAAATCAATAAATATCATACTACATAAACATATAATTAAATGTTTTTTTTTTTGCAACTTTAGTGAACGATCAATATTTCTTGTGGAACACTATATGTGTGGAGCACTATATGTATTCTATTTGCATTTTTTTGTCTTTTATAAACATTTACTATTGCTCATTGTGTAATAGTTTTAGTTATGCTTTTGTACCAAATTATCCATAATAATTGATATTCCTAGGCCTGATGCCTGTGAATTTACTACTTTTAGCAACTATACTGCTATAAATTTAAACTAATTAATTCAATTTTTAAAATTTAATTTTCTTATTTTATTGTTACTCCTTGCTTTCTATTATGCAAGATAGTACTATCTTAATCAATCTATAATAATTTTTAAATTTTTAGCTCTTGAGCCAAGCGTGAAATTTTTTACTGGTTTCATGAATAAGATAAGGTCCTACCTATGATGCACAGACATGGACATGGCGACACAGACACGACACGACACGGACATGTCAATTATTGAAAATATAGGACACGGGCACAGGTTGAACGTGGTATTATAATTTTTTTTATTTTAAAAATAATGTATAAAAATTGAATAAGTATAATTTTAAAAATAATTTAGAAATAATAAGTCATTTAACTATAATTTATGCTTAAAATGATTAATATTAGGATGTCAAGAGTCGGGCGTCGATGTCAATTATCAGCCATCGAGAGAGGAGATGACAATGCTGTCGAGACTCGGGATTGATGTTATGCAGTAAATATTGGTCCTCAATGTTAAGAGGGTGTTTATCGTCGATGTTGAGAGAGTGTTGGTCGTCGATGTTGAGAAGGCATTGGACAAAGATGAGATGTCAAGTTGTGGGTGTAGAAATTACTAGCATCGAGTATCAATATAAAGACGGCGTCAGACGTTGATATGGAGATCATTTTGAAATGTTGATGTTATAACGACGCTAGACGTCGATGTTGAGATGATATCGGGCATTGTTGTGAAATCAAAGTTGTAACCCGCCAAAGAGATGAAAATGAGAGTATTCGGTGAATTGGGTATCAAGTGTGGACGATTGATTTGATATTCTGGATAAGAAATAAGAAACTTAATTTTTATATTTTAAATAAGTAAAACTTTTAAATACAAGAAATTATATTTAAAAAAATTCATAAAATATTTAGGATAAGCGTGTCGGACACGGGTGTCCAATTTGTATTTAATATTTTTATAACTGGACACATTTTTGGAGTGTCCGACACGTGTTGGACGCATGTCGTGTTGGATACGTGTCGGATACGTGTCGGACACTGCATGCCTCTTTGAGGAGAAGTGTCGGTGCATCATAGGGTCCTACTAATAGTTTCTCCTAAATGAAGCTTTAACTGATTGTTTTTCATATTTTTTATGTGTTCTTTGTATAAGCTCACAGGATACAAAATAGCCTATATGAGTTTTATTATAAGATCATTTAAACCTATTTTGCACTAAATATGCAAGGAAATTTGAGACAATGTTCTTACAAATCTTTACAGACTTTTGCAAATTAGAAGCCTTGCCTGTCAATTGATTTCAGCATCCAAATGATCCTTATTTCTGGCTTGTTTGATAATTTATGTTAAACATGTTATTGCTTTTCACTACCTGTTGCTTAAGGCGCTCAACCCAACATGTCTAATTTGCTTTGCAGATTACAAGATGAGGAGTGGAGGATGGGAGATATTGTGCACACGCTTACAAATAGGAGATGGTTAGAGAAATGTATTGCGTATGCTGAAAGCCATGATCAAGCTCTTGTTGGTGACAAGACAATTGCATTCTGGTTGATGGATAAGGTAACTAACTGATAGGAAGTACTTGAGTTCGCAAGTAACCCTAAGGGCAATACTTGAGTTCGCAAGCAAACCTAACAAGAATTGGCAAAAGCAGCGAGAAATAGGGCTGATTTCAAAGAAAAATCAGCAAAAACCATACAGAAAATTTAGTAGATTGGAGAAGAAACACAAGGGAAATACTTTGATTCAATCCACGAACAAGAAATACAAAACAAGATACAAATTTATTCAATTCAAGAGGAAGAAATACTTTCCAAATCTCTAGCAAAGCCTAGAGCCCACATAAAACAAACCCTAGATCTCAAAATTCAGCAAATCTCAAGATACCCAAACCCCAACCTCCAAAAGACTAATTAAAGCCAAAGGAAGCTTACAAAATTGCTGAAAAGTCCCTAATTCAAAATTTTCCTCCTAAACATTATTTAATTAAGTAATGGGCCCCACTAGGGCTTCCGCCCCCTCTTGGTTCCACCCAAAGCCTTGGGCCGGCAGCTATAACAATGAACCAGTCCCTGTTGGACCGGTTCAACCGGCCCCTCCTGGGCCGGCAGCATAACAATAACATAGGACTAGCATGGTGTATATTTTTTTTTTCGATTTTTTTGTTCTCATTTTAACTTTATATGCTGCTTTGATACTGTTGTTTTTCCTCGTAATGCGAAGCTAAGTATTCTTATCTGTTAAACTGGCCTTGTTCTTAAATCTTCAGGATATGTACGACTTTATGGCTCTGGATAGACCATCTACACCTCGTATAGATCGGGGAATTGCTTTACACAAAATGATAAGGCTAATAACTATGGGATTAGGTGGAGAAGGATATCTCAATTTTATGGGAAATGAGTTTGGTCATCCAGGTATGGCTTTTTTGTGCCTGATGTTGAAATCAAAGATCAAGATGGGTCAAAGTTCAGACAAATTAAAAGCACTCCAATTTATGTTTGACAGAATGGATAGATTTTCCAAGAGGAGATCAACATCTACCTAACGGGAAAGTAGTTCCTGGGAATAACTATAGCTACGACAAATGCCGGCGTAGATTTGACTTGGTAAATAAAAAATTTATATCTGAACTTTTCCTTTGTTGTTTTTCTCTTTGTAGTTCGATGCAGACTTGAACTAATATACGAAATATGTGCCTTTGAAAGTATTGCAAACTCTCAGTGCCCCTTAGTAATTTATCTGCCCAAATTGTCTGGAAACTCTTATTGGTAGATAGGCGGCTGGTAAATTTCTAGCTAAAGACTCCAAAAAATTTTGATCTGATTTCGCACTTTGGGTTTGCTAATTTTTATTAGAAACGTTATCCTAGTTATTTGAAGATCTTATTTTTCTTATTGTTTGAAGCTTTTGCTTTAAAATATTCTCTTTTTTTTTTTTAAATTGAACCTCTGACCTACACTTTAAAAGTCGAAGGCAACATCACAAAACCAACTAAGTGGTGCTTTTATGGCCTTTTTTTTCTCTTAGGCTTTGTTTGTGGCCGCTTTTTATTGCTTCTTAAAGCACTTTCTAGTTTAAAAATTATTTTTTTTTTATATTTGAAAGCTGTTTTAAGGTGTAAGAAAGTCATCTCAAACGACGCCTTAAACTTTTATGTATTTCTGTCATATCATTGCAATAGTAACCCTGTTTGTCCATATAGACTTGACTGCATTTTGTCATTGTTGGGTGGGCGAAAATTTTAACCACCTAGATAAGTTTAAAGCGAGCACAATTTTGAGATCAAGGATGCAGCAAGCATTAAAACGTATGATGGCTGGATAAGACAGTACAGTCATATATTGCATTGATGTACGCTCATATGTTAAACATATACATGTGCACACCATAACATGAACTAACTCACATATTTACATTGACATGCAGTATAAAATCTTATGCATATACAAATGAGTCCATTCATGCCAGATTCACTTGTATACGTAATGTGTTTACAAAGATATATTAAAAAAAAATTGTAATTATCTTCTAGGAATTAAAGATTAGCCATTGAAATACTTCAGAGGACAGGTGTAACGCCCCACGATACCCCTTATCAATAACATAGTGCGTTATAGAACTGAACATAACATTCTTTCTCTAAATTTTGTATTTCTCATCATATACATACTTATATAAAAAAATTCATTGACAAATACATTTATTGAATATGTGGAAGCATCTAATAATCTCAATTACATCACACAAATACTTACAAAGCTACTAATAAAAAAAAATGTATCATCACATTAAAGAGCTAACTGTTGGGGAGAAGATGAGGAGTAAACATCACAATGATGAAACAAGCAAGAAAGTAAAAGTAGCGGAAAAATAAAGGACACCAGGATTTAAGGTGAAAAAACCGAAAATATGAAAAAAAAAAAAAACCACGGAGCCACACCACACAAAAAAATCCACTATGAAAATTAGGAAAAATAAATACTAATCTCTCTTCTCTCTCACTCTCTCCTTGCTTCTCTTCTCACATACACTGTTCTCACTCTTTCCCTAAATAAAAATACAAGAGAAAGCCAAGTTAAATAACTCCAATGGACGCAACTCTTCAGAAAACGAGAAAGAATTACCGTTTAGTCCATCTCGTAGTGTTGTTGCGCCAGTTTGGGGCACAACGGCGTCCAGTCTCTGTTTGACAATGCTGCAGCGCTCAAACACTCAACGCTGTAGCACTCAGTTTTTGTCTTGACCACTGCGGCACCATATTTATGCCGCTGCGGTGCCCTTTTCTCTGTCATTCTATGTTGGAGCACTCGAGAACACAATGTTGAGGCGCTCGGGTACACAACGCCGGGGCGTTGTATGGAAAAAATGTATTTGAGAAGAGAAGCAGGGGTAAACCCCTAGCGCCCCCCAGTGAGCACGACAGAACTTGAGGTTCGAGGCAACTAAACAACCAGATTGAGCAACACATCAGATTCTACACATAACACTTACATACTTCAAAAGAAGACATCACAGACACTGCTAAACAGTAAACCTAAATATTTCATAACTTCTCTAATCAGTCTCAACTTTTTTCTTGTCATTTTCTGTAACAATAGCCAGTATAAAAATTGGTGAGCTATGAGGCTCATAAAGTTATGTAAAATAAATAAGAATTTCAATGCAAGATCATAATGACTAATATAATTGAATCAACTCAAAAACATTTGTGAAACAACTTAAAAAAAAATCATATTAAGGATCATCCTTTAATTCATTTGAAGTCTGTGCATCATATTAATATTAGTGTTCTAAGGATTTGGCTATTCTTCTTTACATAATAAACTTTCATAAGAATGTTCAATGGAGCCCAGGTAAATATAACATTATCACCGTTGAATTACATAGATGTCTCTTTTATCTCTTTAGGAGATCCTTTTGCCCCACCTACTATGTAGGTATCATATCTAGGGTCCCTTTTGCCGCACCTGTAATACATTTATCATATCATTTTATAGCCAACCTTTACTAATTTTGATATTTAGTATACTTCAAATATTTGTAATTTATACTTGCTTTGTTTTATTGCATACTTTCATAACAATCTATCTGTTATACCATTAGTATAAAGAGAATTTTTATTCGATATGTAAAGAATTGAACTCATTTCCAAAACCTTACCAACTAAGAAAGTGTTAAACAATCGTATTACTTCTTTTAATACTGAATCATTCAAATTTGCATGTGGTTGCTCATACATGAATACTTAGTTGTGAACATGCATTAATAAAATCATTCCATTTAATAACTATTTCCCTAAAAATAACATAATATACTTTTTAATTGAAACTTACAATACTTACCTCCTTGATAAGTTGTCTCTTAAAATCCTCGACCTCGTACTCTTCTTCTTTTGTAAGTTACCTACAATTTATCTCTCTAATTCTATAAATTTCACAATTTATTACTCAAATAAATTTCATAAAATAAACTTATACTAATATAATAATTTACCTCGAAACCAGTTTCTCTTTCTCCTCACATACCAATTAATCTTAACAATATAATTATCTTTAGAACTTTTACTAAGTTTGGAAAATGTAAAAGACAACCATAATACAAACTGTAAAAAATAAATTTACTTACCTTTCCTTACTATTTTCCTTCTCTTCTTTTTTTACTTAAAATAATTTCTTCTCACAGCAAAAGTTCTCACAACAATTTCTCTCATACAGTCACTGTTCTCTCACTCGACCACTGCTCTCACATGTCAATTCCAATCCAAAGCTCTGTTTTAGCAATGCCGATTCCTGCTTTGCACTGTGCCGAGTCCTACAATACTTCCCTCACCCGCACTTCTTCCCTAATTCTCCCAACTGCCTGCTTGTGTGAAATCAAAAACAGAAGGAATGTGTGAGGGCCCACATAAAAACTGCTTATCTATACTCTTCACAGCCAATAGATCCACCTTTCCTTTTTGGGTTTTTGATTAAGATGTATAGAATGTGCATTATATACCTCTATCCCTGCTTATCATTTTACTGAGTTCAACTTTTTATGAGAATTTAACTTACTAAAACAATTTTTATTAGTCTTTTTTTCTTGAAGTATTGTATTATAAATGGCTGAATCCAGGGAGACGCTGTTTATTTAAGATACCACGGAATGCAAGAATTTGATCAAGCAATGCAGCATCTTGAGGAGAAATATGGTGTAAGTATTCTATTACTTAGGCAGTGATGAATTGTTCCATCTATTCCTTCTCTCAAGCGCGTGCTTCTAGTTTATAGTCATTTGTTTTCGAAGCACTTCGTGTTGTGTTTTCCATATCATAAAACATCCATTTGGTTATATATTAAGATTTCGTTTGGGACGGCTTTATTTCTGCTTCTTAAAGTAGCTTTCTAGTACAAATATACAATAATTAAAAATTTTGCATTAGAAAGCTGCTTTATATGGCAGAAAGAATGCCGTTCCAAACAAAGCTAAGTCATTTTTTTAATCAGATGTGGAATTTAGACTGTTTAAGATAGAGTTTTGAAATCTGATTGGGCCTTCTATATTTTCATAAAATCATTATATTGTTGTGAATAGTTCTTTTATGCTGTTGAAGTAAGTGTTTGTTATGCATTGAAACTCAATATTTTGGATCATTGCAGTTCATGATTTCAAGGCACCAATACATTTCACGGAAAGATGAAGGAGACAAGATGATCATTTTTGAGCGGGGAGATTTAGTTTTTGTGTTCAATTTCCACTGGTCTAATAGTTATTTCGGTTATAGAGTTGGTTGCTTAAAACCTGGAAAGTACAAGGTACTATTTTTTTTGGCACAATTAAGATGCTGGCAGCTTGAGAAATCATTGACTAGTTTCATTAAAGAATTTCTTTTTGTTACTGTGTCGTTAAAACGCATATCTGTCTAACATCATATTTCCTAGTCTACATGTTAAATGAAAATTCAACCAGCTCTTTTATGTTTAAGTACCAATTGGTTAGAAACACGCATTGGTTTAGCTTGCGATCTCTTAGATTGTAAGTGCACATTTCTGATCTTTCGGCAACCAAACTTTGTTTGGAAGTAGGGGTGTAAGTGAGCCGAGTCAGCTTGAGCTCGACTCGTTTATGAGCCCATGAGCTGAGCTTATTGAGCCAGGAGCTCGAGCTCGACGAGACTCGGCTCGTGAGCTCGCTAGCCGGCTCAAAATTATTAAAATTTAAATATTTTTAAAAAATTCTGGCGTATTTCAAACTATATATATATATATATATATATCTGCAGTCGTAAAATATCAAGAAAAGAAATTTAGAGATTTTTAAGCTCAACTCGAGTTCGAGCTTTGTATTTTGACAGTTGAGCTCGACTTGACTCGTTTGCACCCCTATTTGGAAGTATCTGAAAATGATAATCTTTTTCTTTGATCATAGATTTTATGCTAAAATCCAATTTTGCTTTAAATTGGAACTCCTTAGTTTCAAATAATCTTTCAATCCCAATTGAGCCAAGCATATTAATTTTATAGAATATATAAATTAAGCTGTGCACTGGCCGGGGATGCTATTCTTAGTGCAATGCTGCTGAATTTTGACAGTCTTTTTCCTTATATTTCTGTAAAGCCTTCTTGAAACTGCTTTTATATGAACAAACCATGCCTGCTTTACTACAGGTTGTGCTAGATTCTGATGACAAACTTTTTGGCGGATTTGGCCGAATCAATCCTTCTGCAGAATACTTCAGCACTGTAAGTTCTAAGGTTTACTCTTTCCTTCAATCTTCATTCAACCCAATGTACAAATTATACAACTATCCATGTCTTTTGATCAAGCAGGAAGGTAAATATGACAATAGGCCTCATTCCTTCCAAGTTTATGCCCCAAGCAGAACAGCAGTTGTGTATGCCCTTACGGAGGACTGAGGCTTTGTTTGGGACGACTTTCTTATTGCTTTTTAAAGCTATTTTGTAGTATAAAATTTTTAATTTTTGTACTAAAGAGTTGTTTTTTGAAGCAATAAGAAAGCAGTCCGAAACAAAGCCTGAGTCTCCAGCTGCATATTCATCAGATTTCATGCAATTTCTTGATGATTTACAATCTCACAAAACACGAATCAAGAGTGCGCTTGAAGATCGATAATGCTCGATGTCGAGAGCTATCGCCGAGATCGGAAGCCTTCATGGCGGCCTTAGCTTGGTCTAGTGGCTTATATTTCTAGCTTTCCATAATGTAAATGAGCTTCCTTCTCTAGATTTATGGTAGAATAACCTTCTCCTAGCTCTTGGCTCATCTCTATATGATAAGTTAGTGCACAAGATTTTTAAAATGCCAGTGATTGTGTTATGTGAGAACTATTATGTTTACTGCTACTTCGCTTTCTTTAGTAATGATTTGGGAGTGTTGGTCTGTTCTATGCTGTAAGCTGATATTTTATGAAATAATGCTTATGTGTTAGATATTGGGAGCTTGATTATTTAGTATTTTTTGGGGGGATTTACATACATATACTGTTTTATGTCATCTTATTTATATACTCAACCCCCAAAATTTTAATATTTCATGCCTATTAGTCATAAACAACTTTAATATCAAATATGATATTGTTATATTTCATTTCTATCATATATATCACCCTATAAATTTTAATATTTTATTTTTTACACATTTGATTTATGGGTGGTAGATATGAAATATTATGATTTTGATTGTTAGATATATAAATAGCATTATAGAATTATTATCTTTTATGTAGTATGTTGTGCACCTTGGAAGTTTGTCAACTGATGTATTTTTGTAATGATAATTAACCTTTTTTTTCAACTTAGAAAATAATTATAATTGGTCATACGAATTTAAAATAAAATTATTTTATTTATTATGATCTATAATGAAATAAAAAATAAAAAATGAAAATGTATAATTAATTATTTATTTATTTAGTAGATATAAAGGTGTATTCTTGTTGGAGTAAAAGTTTTAGTATTTAAAATGGTTTTAGAAATAAAAAATATTGGCTTGTAATGCTTTTTCATTACATTTTAAATGTTTTTCCCATCAAGTAAAATATGAATTTGATAATGCATTATCTAAACTATCCATTGCTGAATTATGTTTTCATGTTTAATCAAATTTAAATAAAAAATAAATTGTTGTAAATGATGAGAGCTCAATAATAAAAAAAAAAATAAAAAGTTTTTCTCATTTGGTCTAAGATGACAATAAGATCTTTTAAATTAGTGGGAACAAAGGAACAATTATTACGTCCTCCGACCAGATGCAGAGAAGCATCCGGTCGTAAGCAAAAAAAAGGCGGTACCAAGGTGTACTGAGTTTTTCAAAAAACTCGGTACACCTCGGTACCGCCTTTTTTTTGCCTACGACCAGATGCTTCTTGCATCCGATCAACCGAACCAAATAAAAGTTCGGAACAAAGCGAGGGATTACATGACAATGCTTTTATATTTATAATTTTTGTTTCCAATTTTTTTACTTGAAGATTACTTCCTGAATGGTTAAAAAGTTCCTTATTTCATTTTAATCAAAATAAAATTTAGAATCATCAAATTTATTTTAAATAAATAAAATTTAATATCTATTTAATTAGTGAAATACTAAATTTATTTTTAAACAAATTCCATAATTCTAATAATCATCTTCATCAATTTTCGATCTTATTTCAACTCATTATTTCTACTTTAAAAAGTTCAGATAAATATCTCATCTATGCGCTAATTGCGGTTACATAATTTCCAATTTAAATAAAAAAATTAATAATTTTATTAAGAACATATTTAAGAAAAAAATAGAGAATTATCTATTTAAATTTTAGCTTACAAAACTGACGAAAATGAATGAGGTCTTAATAACTAAATTCTAATGGAATATTAACTCATAAAAAATAAATAAATTTCATGAAAATTTTGCTAAAACTCACAAGAGAGAAATAAGTAAAGAAATGATCCATAAAATGTAATAAATAAATAAATAATTAATTAAGTCACAAGGCTTCCATTTTCTGCTTTTTCAAAAAATTTAAAGAATTTTTTTTTATATTTATACAAAACAATATGCCGAACAAGAATTATTCTTGCAATTTAATCTGTTTAAAATTTTATGTATAAATGAAGTAATTATCAGAGTAAATTGTAATTTCATTCAAAAGTATGATGACTTATAGTTTGCATAAAATTTGTGTAATGATATTTTATGCAAAATTTAGTCAGGATGAGTTTCTAAATTTTAAATTTATTTCATATAAATAATAAATTAATTTTTATATTATATTCATATCTCAAAATAAATTTAAAAATTTTTCATCCTGACCCAAATTTTGATGAGATATCTTCACCCAAATTTTATTCCATTTTTGTTTGTTTCATACACCACAGCTACACAAAATCAATCCCAAACACCATAAAGTAAAAGTGAGCTTCTCAGAAGCTACAGGAAAGAAAAACAAGTAATAAGGTATCAACAGATTAGATCAGTACCCGTAAGTTAAATAGTATTGAGAGGGGCATCAGCAATGGCTTCAATATCATCCTTCCTGCTTTTAAGCAAAGATCTTCTCTTGGTTTCTGGGTCGAGTTTATACAAGTCTTCTGCAACAGCTATGTAACCATATAGGAACTCATCTGGCCGTTTGGATTGGCTTTCTACTTCGCTGTTCTTTCCACGGGAAGAAATTTGCAGGAATTCCTGTTTGCCATGCTTTTTATCGGCTAAGTGTTTGTGAAGTCTTTCTGCTGTTTGTAGGCCAGAAAATGTGGGCAAGAACTTCACAGTGAAGATGCTCTGATTTGCAGGTCTTCCATGGCAGAAGCGGATCTTTCCTGCGCCGAAGCCCATTTCTGCAGCAAATAAATACAGCCAAAGATTTAGGGGTTAATGGTGGTGCCGATAGGCGGCGGTGGTAGAGGATGGTGATGCCCGTGGTGGTGGGCGGCAATAGTGACAAAAGGAATGCAAGCAATCACAATGCGGGATTTGAAAATCAGAGGGGCAGTTTTCAGATGAAGGAAAATTAAGAATTTTGATGTATTCCAACTTCATTTGGCCACACTACGTTTTTTACTAAAAAATCGTTTTATAAAACAGCAAGAAAGTCGTCTCAAATGAAGCCTTAGTTTATAGTTTTACTAGACATAGAAATGTCTTGGCAACATGAAAACTATAAGCAAACCAAAGGGCAATCTCTAAGTATTTCACTACTTAAATGATATATCGCAATCATAATATGATAAATGTTACACGCTTACAATGACTGATAAAATGCAAATAGTACCCTTAAAAAGTTCAACCTATCATGAATGGCTTCTCATTGAACATTTTCTTATGATAATATTGTCACATCGATGTAGCCTCACGACAATGTATTAAAAATTCAAATGTTTTTTTTTTAAATTATAAATAGCAATCTTAAGGATTGTACCAGGCTCGATCTATCACGATATAAATAAACTTCTAATTAAAGTACTATTCCTTCTGCTTCAACAAGTCGAATCCTTGATATTGGAAGAAATAAAGAGTATGAGAGAGGTCCTCAACTTATACAAGCATGAAATCTGATTCTTCTAATTGTTATGCTTCTTCCCTTCTAGTTTAATTTCTTTCTTTTTATTCATTTTATTCATAATTGAACTAATGTTCTACAATGGCATGGTTTTCAATGAGTTATATGTCCCCGTAATTCTAAATTTCTAGAAAAAGAGTATGAAATGATTATACTAAACTTGGCTTCGTTTGTCAGGGGCAACTTTCTTCCTGCTTTCTCAAGCAAATTTCTAGTACAAAAAATTTTAATTCAATAAATTTTTGCACTAAAAACTGCTTTAGAAAGCTGTAAAAAAGTTGTCTCAAACAAAACCTTACTCTCATCATATTTTTGGTTTTAGGTAGTGATAAACCTAAAAAGACTTCGTTAGAAAATATTAGAAATGTCCTTTTTTTTAATTAAATTTAAATGAAAATTTGACTCTTAACATGATACAATTGAGAAAAAGGACTCATGTAGCCGACCAACATAGTGGAATAGAAGCTTGATGTTGTTGTTGTATTGATTCGAAAAATAATGAATAGCAAATTAAATTAAAAATCTATGGCCAACAAAAGTTTACGTGCAATGCATTTTTTGTATCTCAAAGTGGATTAATATTAAAAAATTTGGATCCTAAGACGTCCCATATCAGTCAGCCATCAGCCAAAATAACCAGAGAATCATTCCTGTGACTGTACCAATAAAAATTAAGATAAATATCCTAAAACTACATCACAATATGTGTTTGTATTAAAACCTAAGAGCGTGAGAGTCAATGCTCTTTAAACTCTATATATTCTTGGGTCATAACCACGACACATGCAGAATTTCAGATCACATTATCCAACTATAAATATCTGAACTTGTTGGGAAGTTTTTGCAAATGATTTTGGTAAAGTTGAAAACTTCATTGGCAATGCCAAATATTTACTTCTTAAACCTTGAAATTAGTGGCAGTCATAAGGGGTAATCATTCATCTATTTCTTATAATTAAATGCATTATGGCACTCATACAAATTCTTGACCAACTAAAAATCATGAAGTACTAAAAAAAAATTTGATTTGACCATTCAAGTCATATTTAGAGCTATAAAACAGTTTTTTTTTTTTAATCATGATATGATCAATGCAGTTTTTCAGGTGCATGTAATTTGTGGGTATGAAAAGATAGAGAAGCGACAAAATGTCATCAAATGCAACATATAAAAAGGGATAATACTACCTAAAAGAACAAAAATCAGTAACGTAAACAGAATTACAATATCAAACTCGAGTAGAAAACAAACCTCTGAGTATCTTTTCCAGGCTATCAACATTGACAACTTTACCAACCTTGGTACTGCTATAATCTCCAACTAAAATATTGTGAATAATTACGAGTGGAGGCCACAAAATAAGGTCTTCCCTCATAGCTTTGGCATCAGCAACAGGCATGGCCTGGTATGCCCTCGAATTTTCAGGAGGCACACGCCAGTTCCAGCCCAAAAGGACACATAGTGCCTTGTGAAAACCTAAATGTTCTGTTTTTAAACCGGGCTTATGGGAGTGATAGCAGTGTGTAACTAGGCCATTTGTATCCAAAAACTCCTTAGAAGTACTGCGACAAAAAAAAAAGAAAGAACAGCTACACTTATTGATCAAAATACAAAAATTAAATAAAAACTAACAAAAAGTACATATTATCTCCAGAAAAATGCAAGAAGAAAATATGTTGAGTTTAGAATAGAAAACAGATCAGGTAAACCAATCTTAGTGTACAGGAAAAAAATACTCAAGCTCTATAAAGTATTAAAACTTATTTGGCAGTGATAGAGACAAATTTAGATTCCAAAAAAGCATCCAACATTGTAATTTATAGTCTTTAATTGATAATAAGACATGTATACCATTATGAAGTCAATACCAAACTGAAATTTAATGCTAGAACAAACAATCAAAATGCCCAAAGCATGAATTCAAACAAAAAGCTAACAGCAATAATTTAATCAGCAACTCCAAGAATAGGATAAGCCAATTGACCTGTCCTGCAGGGTTGTGTTACATGCGTGATCAATCTTTGCATCATAACAGAAACCGAATAATACCAGTCAAAGGAAATCAGGGAACATAAAAATTGAACTTTTTTCTTTTTTAAAAGGATAAATATTTATACATTAAGTACTAACCAATACTTCTAAATAACCATAAAGAATAACAAAAAACAGCAATGATCTTCTCAACTCATAAACTTGGCAGTTTAAAAAAGAAAAAAACAAGAGAGTAAACAAAACAGGTGATTATATATAACATGAGATACAGTGTGGTAACTAAAGTTGCATAACAAGAGATTTCAAGGAAAGAGTGATATTGTGACATTTTTTTAGAATTATATGCTCCATTAAACAATTATGCAAGTAAATTGAATTCTCTTTCATATTTGAGAAGCACCAAAAATTCTCACTTCACGTATTAGAATCTGTCTTTGGAGTCTCTGCGTAACTTCTGTCTTAAGGTAGACTAAGAACCCTAACCCAACACTCTGAACTCTTAGCTGAGAACCAAAATTTCTGGGTGATAACACATCACATCCTGCAGTTTCAATTTTTCCAACAGCATCTTCAGAGATTGACCATACTCATAGCTAAGCAACATTTCACCCCATAGCTGGTTCGTAAAACAATATTTTCAAACAGAGAAAGAATGAAGAGAATAAATCCTGTCAGTAAGTACTTACAAACAGGGAGTCATAATGCCTAGTTTTGCCATTAAATGTCAAAATCAGTTCTTCATTCGCTGTAACTCACACAGCTGACTTAAGTTTCACTCAAAATCAAACAAATTTTGCAGGAGATCATGATTCCAATGGTTGCTTCCAATCATCAGTCATTTTCACCAAGAAAGATGACAATCATATTGGAATTGAAAGTTCCAAAGTGTGCAAGATACCTGAGACATGCTAGAAGCTTATAATTACTTCCATGTGAGAGAAATCTAGGAGTTTTTCAGCACCATATTACTACTTCTTAAATAGCATGCCACAAAACATCTAATCACTACTACCCCAATTCAGAAAAACTACTAGTTAATGCTGGAATTATGATTAAACTAAAACTAAACCCCTGTAACCCTTAAAGATTTCAAACCTTGAATGATTTTAATAAAATTAAAACAGAAGCTTCATGCCTTCTCAAATCAACAACAGGGAGGCATGCTTCCTCATACTTAGGGCGTGAACTTTTACGAATATATTTTTCTGAAGCCCAAAAGTGCTTCTGCATCAAGAAAGGAGCAACTATATGCTTCCATAAATATACTGTAGTAGAGAAGACAGACCTTCCACATACACTACATAGTAGGCTGTAGGTATTTCCTTGATTTTGGTATATTCTTTGATTGTGCTGACTCTCATTCAACAGCTTAGAATAGCGAAGGAATGCTTTATGAACTTGCTGCTTAAACTCCTCTGAATCTTCTGGGGGATCATTCTTCACAACAAGAGAATCACTGTCATGTTTCCCTCTAGCTTGAGCACCAAGCCTATCCTGCATTCCTCTCTTCCAGTACTTGTAGGGCCTCAACGAATCTTGTCTTCTTTCTGAGAAAGATGAAGTATCAAAGTCAGAACGGGGGTGCTTCAACCTCCTCTTTGAATCGATATTACGACCAATTTCTGCAGGTGTGGAAGATACAACTTTTGATGGCATAAAAGCGTCAGATGAAGAAATGCCACGCAAAAATTTTCTATATCGGGATTGTTCCATAAGCATGGATTTCGACATTGAGGGCCCCGCCATCTCTTCACTTGGCCACATTTCCTCATTTACATACGGTGCAAAGGAATGACGGTCATTCATAAACACAGTTCGTGAATCAATGTCATCTATGTCTTCAATGATGTCATAATTTCTGTTCTCCATCCTTTCCACATCATAATCACCTAAATCATCCATGTGTGACCTGTCATGAGCACTCATTGATAGCCTATGCTCATCTACTTCATGATCTGATAGCAAAGGCTTCCTATTCCTATGTTCCACTCTGTGAGATATTGGGAAAAAATGTTTTTCAGAAGCAAAACCCTCTTCAAAAGGCATCCTTTCATAATCTCGTGATGATTTAATTCGCAATCCATCATGCCAATTGCCTGAATTGGTTGGTAACTCTTGTTGAGCTCTCACATCATCAAAATCATGAGCAAAATCTCGCTGCAAATAATGGCGACGCTCTGAAAAAGTTCTTTGAATTAAATTCCTATTAGTAGAATCATCTTGATCCCTCCAGTCTCCAGGATAGTCTAATTCAAACTGAGTCGAAGAAGTTGCATTCGTAAGCTCAGTCCGAGAAGCACCAGGCATCTTTTTATATAGTTCATCTTGTACCCTATGTCGATGATCATCCAGGCCTATAGGGCCAAGTTCATCATGCTCATATATCCGGGATCCATCCAGTAGGCCATGCCTCAGTGGATCAGACTTCGGTACTTGATTGTAGGTGTAATGCTCCAAGTGGTCATCAGGGTATCTGCCCACACCAGTGGCAAGCCCATCTGATATAGGGTTATGATGCAAACTGTTGACCTCCTCCTTCAATATACCAGATGAAGAAATATTGCTGAAAGGCCTTAGCTGAGAGGACGGCAATTTGGGGATGGAAAAACCTCTGGAATGTATATGTCTTCTATCCATATCATCATATGGATCCCTACGTCCATCATTATAAGAATGCATGTCAACTTCCTGTATCTCCATACCAAAACTACCTCCACTGCGTCTCATTCTCTCCAAGTTCAGAACAGCAGAACCAATTGGGTGGTCTGAATAAAGGCTCCGGGATGATCCTTCTCCAATGAAGGTTGAATTTTGTCGCAGTATGCCCTGTTCCTCAATATCTAACGAGGAAGGTGGCAGAGCCCCGTCAATCTGAGAATGGAACTCTCTATCCTTGATCGATGGTGAATACTTCCAGCTAGGGTTAAATGAAGGGTGGTCTGGAAGTACGTAGTCGTGTTGGAATCTGAAACCATCATCACGCGAAGAGAACGGTGGTGACAGTGAGCGATAGCGGTGCTGAGGCGGTGGTGAATGGTTATGTACAAGTTCCCTTCCATGATCAAGGCGCCTCAACGGATGCTCCTGCCGCCGCTCTCTTGATGCACTCCGGCGGCCAGAGGGCCTATGGGCCCTCATCGGCGGCCTCTGTTGCCGCTTAAAACTCATCATAGGGCTCCTACTGCGACGTGAGCGGTGAAGCAAAGGGTCACCACGCCATTCCGATCGACGGTCCTTCATTCAGCACCACTAGTTCCAATGCTTAACGTATCCTTTCCTAAATTAAACTATCAAAACCTACAACCCAGCAAAAACAAAAACCTAGATATCGTCGACAGTCGAAACCTCTTCCACAAATCGGTAATAAGCCTATAACTCAAAGGAAACCGATAAAAGTGTGAAGAAAGCGTGAGACTAGGAGCGGAGATGCAGAAGGGTGCAAAGCGCAAATCGAAAAACGTAACCCTACCTGTCGAGATTGCCGAGGATTCCTTACCTTGATCCTTATGCTGGGAGGAAGCGCATCCAAAGTCCAAACTTGCGGAAACGGGAAAAAACCTAGGATGGATTATTGGATTATAAGCACGGTAGGTTTATAAAATTAAGTTTTTGATTGGCTGAAAATTAAATAGGGATTTACATAAATATAATATATGTATTTATCTATTATATAGGTCTTTTTGATCCGTTAATTGATTGATTTGACTATTAACTAAAAAAATTTAGATTTAAGTATATGTTATTTGTATGAGTTTAAGTGCTGTTCCTTAATTCACTCTCTCTATCTCTCTCTCTTTATCTCTCTCTCTCTCTCTCTCTCTATATATATATAGTGATATGTCTATAATCAAAATAAAATTTTTTATTTTTTTTTTAATTTATCATTTAATTTTTTTTATATTATACATATTTTTAATATTATAGAACAAAACCAAATCACTCAAAATAGCGTGTGACTGAACTTATCATCTTTTTTTTTTTTTATGCGTGCCGCCGAGGAGAGGGAGTAGAAGAGGTGGGCTATCCAAAAATGAAAAATAATTCAAACAAATAAGCACCGCATATAAAACACATTTAATGGGTTTTTTTTCTTCACGTGTCAGAGTTTTTTCCTCCATTTGTCACGGTTTTATAATATATCTAAATAGTTTTAAAAATAAATAAACATGAAAGAGATCTTATCGAGTCAAGCCATGAGCAGATCATAGAACGCTTGATTCATTTACAGCCCTAATTTTGTTATTGATGTTTAAGCAAACATGAGAGAATATCTCTACGACAATAATGAAATTGAACATATAAAAAAATATGTGAGTAAATAAATAAAGTTCAAAGGGAGAACAATCAAAATGAAGTGGCTTTCAATGAGAATGGGAGAGAATGAAGATGGGAGTTGTGAGCAGGGCCGGACCTATGATGCCGTGAGGGTGGGCAACCCTCAATTTTTTTAAAAATTAAGGGTAGTTTAGACATTTTCTTCCCAGCTGCCCTATTTTATCCCCTTCCCCCCTCCCAAAAAAAAAAAAACAAAGGACCAACTTGAGCCGCCAGCCCCAATAGCGGAGTTCTTCGGCTTTTGGCAATCGTGGAGAAAGCCATAAAACTGACCGCCTAAGGTAATCTCAAAATCTTTTGCATAAGTGAACTAAAATCATATTTGCTTGAGATGGAAGAGGCGGGGTGTAACCGCAAGCAAGAGGCGTTGAAGCAGGAAATCTGGAAATGCATAGCCGCGTGGAAAAGAAGCATTGTTTTTTTTTCTCATTGAAAGTTCAGAAGGGAATTCGTTGATTATTATCATGAGATGCATAGCCGCCTTGGTGTTGCATTAGTTCATTGTTTTGTTTTGTCATCATGCCATTCATTCAGTCATTTTTTTTCTATTATTTCATTGTTTTGTTAAGTCTAAATGTCATTCATTCATTTTTCTCTGATATTTGTTCATAATAATTTTTTTTTATAAAATAGATTTTGAGAACTTTAATAATCTTCCTATTGACCATGGGCTTCGACCTTCTATATGGAATTATGATGTGAATGATAGGGATAGAGTTCGGCGAGCATATTTGGTGAAGGGACCTTATCAACCAAAAAATCATAACTTCCCCCAAATAACAATAGAAAATGTAGCTCGAAGGTTTAATTCTAAATGGTTTGAAGAATATCCAAGCTGTAATAATTCTAAATGGTTTGGAATTATGATGTGAATGTTAAGTTCAAGAAGGATGATGTGTATCCGCTGGTTTATAGACTCATTATTTTAGCATTGACTTTACCAGTTGCTACCGTTACAGTGGAAAGAGCATTTTCTGCAATGAAGATTGTAAAACATCGACTACGTAGTAGGATGGGTGATGATTGGCTCAACGATTGTCTGGTGTCTTATATTGAAAATGATGTATTTGATTTGATTCCCAATAAAGTTATAATGCAACATTATCAGAAAATGCAAAATAGATTATTAAGCTTGTAATAATTTTTAATTTATCAATCATAATGATTTTGCTTTGAATTATGTTCTTTTTTATATAAATATTAATATATTCATATGCAAAATTTGCCCACCCTGAAATAAAAGGTTGGATCCGCCCCTGGTTGTGAGGATGAGTGTTGTGAAGTACTTATGGACAAGAAATGATCTTCAGTTGTTTAATTATTTTATCCTAATCTTTTGCTCAATTTTAAGAATTTTTCATGTTAGCATTGCACAAATGGACAAATATTAAGACAAAAAAAGGCTCAAAGAAGTCACCATAGTTTTACATGAAACTTTTGAAAAAGAAAGAGAGAGAGAGAGTGAGAGAGAGAGAGAGAGAAATTTAACCTAGTTGAAATAATACACAATGCATGTAAGATTATAATTTTTTTCACTCTAAATTGGAGAAGACAAAATTTTAAAAGTATATGAATTATTAGCTTAACCTTTCATAAATGAAGTAGATAATACAAAAGAAATAGTGAAGGTGAAAATGACGATGAAAAAATAAATGCCATTTGGTATAGTTACTGGGTCAACGGATGGTGGCAGCTAGGAGAAGATCGTTAGGTGATAAAAGTTGGGTGACACCGATCAAGCGATAGTGAGTAGGTGATGATAATCAAGCGATAATTGTTACTGTTGGTGATTGTTAACAAAGGTCATCATTGGGAAAAAAAATTAGAATACATTATATTTTTAAGATTTCTCCAAGAAAAAAAAAGAAATTAAATTCTTCCAATTTAGATCTCAATGCGTGACACTTGGTCAGGATAATTCCCTAATACTGACATGATTCCCATCAAATTAAGACATTAATGAATGGTAGTGAGTTGCCTAACTATAATCATGATTAGATTGTTGTTCTTTTGAGGTTTCCTACTATTCTTAACTTAATATAAATGATAAACTAGTTAATAATAATAAATGGATAGCCCTTGATAATTGTGCCTAAAATGTTGGCAAGAACATTTTCCAAGGATCTTGCCCCTTAGCCTAGAATTTCTTTCCATGGACAAGCAAATTATTACATGTTGAAACTTTTATGATTTCATAATCATAATTTTTTTTCTTAAAATTATATAAAGATTCATGCACAAATAAATAAAAGTTCATAATTAACAAGAAAATTTTTAACCTAGGGGGGGCTTGCCTGAAATAATCTACCATGCAAGTAAGATTACAGAAATATATTATTCCCTTAATACGAGAAAACGATACTAAAAAATATCAAGTGTTATATTAATCTCTTGTACGTAAATCTAGTATATAATACTAGACAAATAGTGAATAGGTGCAATATGTGGGCAATAGTCGTTAGGCAATGGATGCTGCTAGTGGTGATCATCAACATCGATCATCACCCAAAGTTTTAAAATTCTTCATATCTCTAGGCTCACTCAAATTTTGGTCCTTTTAATGTGAAGAATGAGAGTTAGTTTATACTTTTCTATATTGACATTTTGATAATTTTAATGCAAATTCCTCAATACTCAACTAGACTGCTTTTGTAGATTATCTCAATTATATTTCTAATTAGAAGACAAGGAGAAAATTGATATCGAAAGAGAACCTATCAACTGCAAAAATATGGAAAAAAAAAAAAAAAATCCGCTATAAGAAAACCGATGAAAGGAACCTTCAAGATGTTAAGCTTCGAACACAATCTCAAAAATTCAACCTCCTTAGTGCATTGCGATGTGAATAGAACCAACATATTGAGTAGAAATGAAGACGAATAGAGGAAGTCAAGTAAAAAAAGTGGGCTAAGAAGTGAAAATTTGGGTTCTATAAAGGAAATAAAAAGAAATGTTTGGGGAGGAGTGCAAGGATGCATCTTATTTAAAAAAAAAACAATAAGATGCTAGCCTCTCGTTGAATCGGTAACTAATCTTATCATCTAAGCAAATTAAAATTTTGTTTGAAACAATTTTCTTATTATTTTCAACAGTAGCTTTCTAGTATAAAAAGTTCTAGTTTAAAAAAAAAAATTTGTACTAAAATTGTTTTAAAAAGCAGTTAAAAAACCATATCAAATGAAGCCTAATTAGACATGATAACACTAATCATCCGTTGTGAAAGATCAAATATTTGTGAGTTGTTTTAACCCATTATAATAAGTATGAATTTTATATACAACATAATAGAAAAGGATCAAAATGATTTCTCAACTCTTTGTAAAAGATCAAATATTTGTGAGGGATCAAAACGGTCCTCAACTTTTTTGAGGGATCAATTTGATCCCTTAACTCTTTAAAATGTGATTTTTTGATCCTAACATTTGATGTTGGAGTTAATGGTGTTAAATATAAAGATATTTTGATCATTTTTTAATTACAAATTTATTAAATATAATTTTTAAGTAAATGTAATTTTTTTAAAATGTTATTAACTATTTCTTTAATAAGAAATAATAATAATTTTAGTTTTAATTTTTTTTTTCATAATTTATAAATATAACTGACAAAAATATGTGTGATTAAGTTGAAAATAACATCTATTTGCATTTAATTTCTCTAAATTGATAAATATCATATTTTATAAAATTTAAGTAAATTCTTTGAAATTAAAATTTAAATTATTATTAATTTTTTATTAAACATTTAATACATTTTTTAGATAAACTATAATTACTTGAAAATTATATTTAATAGATATTTAATTAAAAATAATCAAAATATTCTTACATTTAACACAATTAACTCTAAGATTAGATATTATTATAAAAAAAAAATCAATTTTAAACACTTGAGGGACCCAATTGATCTTTAAAAAGAGTTGATAAATATTTTAATTTTTTTTATAAAAAATAAAGCGACTATTTTGATATTTTCTCTATAACATAATATTTAGATTTGAATTAAAAAGAGTTAAAAAATGGCTTTGCAAGTCAAAGCGAGCTAAGATCATCTCCAGCCGTTCGACAAACAGCCGAATGGAGGCCCTCAAGCGTAGCAACCGAATGCCATTTCTTCCGCCATTTGATCGCAGTTGAACAGTGCAACGCCAATATTGGCGTCGCACTGTTCACTTGCGCCATTTCTTTATATCTACCGAACTCATCTGAGAAAGGTGTGAAAGAAATGAGCGATGATTTGGAGGCAAAATGATATTCCACTGAAGATGAATCATAACATTTTTTAATTTTATTGTATTTTATAGTGAAAAAAGAGAATTTTGATTGGAGATGCCCTAAAAGCAATCCCCACGCCTAGTCCCTTCCTACAAAAGCCCTTAGCCCTTCCCTTAAGCGACCCTGCTAGGCACTTAAGCGCAAAAATCTGAAGCGATGTTGAAGGAGACCTTCGATGCCGTTGCTTCAGTACCTGAGAACCCTGACTCTAACCATAGCCCTAAGGCCCCTAACGTTGGATTCCGAGATGGGGAATACCGCAGCTGCAATGATGTGAAGGTGGAGATGAAGACGGCGAAAAAGAAAGTGCTGGTCGTGATGGGTGCGACGGGTGTTGGGAAATCACGGCTTGCCATCGACCTCGCTAAACACTTCGCCGGCGTCGAAATCATCAACGCCGATTCCATGCAGGTCTATCGCGGCCTCGACATTCTGACCAACAAGGTTCCTCTTTGCGAACGCAAAGGTCTGCCCCCTTCATCATATATTTTTGAAATTTTTTATTATCTTAAAATTTTGGAGTTTGTGGTTTAATTTAGTTTTCCGAATTTTGTTACAGGCGTACCTCATCATCTCCTTGGCACCATTGACGCATCCATGGAGTTTACCTCGAAAGATTTTCGTGACATTGCCATACCTGTGAGTATTGGGCTGCGTCTTTTGTAGGTAATTCGTTTCGGTGCCTCCTGGATTGATATATTACTTTTCCTATATTGTGGGCAAAGATTATAGATGATATACTATCGCGTGGTTGCCTTCCTGTCATTGTTGGGGGTACAAATTACTACATACAGGTTTTTATCTTAACAGATCTATTTTTTTCGCATTCAATGATTCAAAGGTTATAGCTTTTCTCTTTTCCTTATATTTTTGTTGCTTGTTATGCGTAGGCTCTTGTGAGTCCGTATCTTGTCGATGATGTCGTTGAAGATATGGCCGAAGGTTCTGGGAATTCTTTATTAGGCGACATAGGTGAAGAAAAGACTCATTGATTTCTTTCATTCTTTATCTGCCAAAAGCTTTTGCTTATTGTACTTTTTCATTAGATCTGAACAGCATTAGTTCGTCTTCTGCCTTTGAACTTCTAAAGGAGATTGACCCGATTGCAGCTAATAGGATCCACCCAAATGATCATAGAAAGGTAAGATTTTTCTTCTTAATTATGGGTATATACGTTGGACCATTTTTTAAAATCTACTTAAGTTGGTCTACATGATTTAGAAGTTTCTTCCCATGTAATTTTATATTTGTCTGCCTTTTTTTTGGCTAAACCTAATCTTTGCTGGGTTAGCCTTTTCTTAATACACCCTTTCTTTTTTTATTCATAAACATGTCTAGCTTAAATAATTAAACTAATTTCCAGGAGAGCCTCTTGGACCATGGCTCCCGCTTTGACTCATTTACTATTGCAAATCAATATTGTTGATGAGCGGAGTCTTCCTCTTCTGCGTGATCAAGATTGAGGACTGGTTGAATCTTTTTTTTTTTTAATATATAAATTTTACCTTCATACTTTGTTAACATATTAGCAACGGTTAGCATGAAAAATTTGACTAGCTCGTAACTTTTGCTATGGAGTGGATCCTACTCTTCTGCCAGTGTGTCTAGCATGGAGGGTTGCTACTTCATTTAAATTTGCATTTATTAACAGGGTGGTTGCTCCTTCTTAACTTATTGAGTTTGGTATGATGGCTACCTATGTCTATGATGGATCATTTTTGGCTTCTTTTCATTCCTTTTGGAAGATGAAGGTGCGAGTTTCGCTACTGTACATCTTGTAGAAAATGGATATGTAGTTGTGATACTTTTCCATCACTAGCTTGGATTGCTTGACTAATGATTTTAGTTTCTTTAGTGGTGGAAAATAAATGATACACATCTTAAGGAACTATTCCAAAGGTCAGTTCATCTATATATTGTCTAGTGATGGTGAATTTCACAATGCTTTTCTTTCAACCTTTTCATTGTCCTTTCTTAGTCAAGGAACAAGCAAAAAGAATTTTGGTGTGGTGCAATGCTTAACCCTATTTACTCAACTAGAGTTACACAAATAAGATTATACCACCACATGAATCTATATCCATAATTACACTAACCATATTATTTTACTAGGATGCTTAATCAGAAGAGCTTATCCTTTTCTTTGGTGATGGTCAATTTCAATTTGGCTAGAGTTGATCCGATTCTACCTTTTGCAGATCCATAACTTTCAATATTAGTGATGAGAGCCTTCTTTTCTCTGGTCACATGCTTTTTGGCATCTTCTCTAGATGTAGTTTCTAGTAGCTACACTTCATTTGTCTGTTGAGCTAGAAGTGAGAGTAGAAGTCTTTGCCTCCATTCATATTCATTTGGCTTTAAATAGTTTTCTTACCATCTTGGTGACGAAGTATCCATCTTTTGCTACTCTTATCCGTGCAATTCTTCACATACTTGGCTATGCATTTTTAGCTTTCTCCATGATGTTTTTTGTTATACATAACTTTAGTTACTTATATTGGTCTTAATGAAGACTTGTGATATACTCCATAAAAATTGATTTCTCCTCTAATGAAACTTATAAAGCGATAGTTTGCTCGTGAAGTTTTATGGTCTTCCTCTTGCACATTATATTCTTGTCTTTTGCTTTAATTGCTACCATCATATGCACTTAGATACATTGTTTTATTTGTAGATATAGAAATGTGCTTTTAAATGCTCCACCATATTACCTACATTCATAATATCTGTAATAAGAAACAAAAGACATTTTCCTTTTGTTCAGGTGAGGATGAGGTGTAAGCCTCAAGTTGGATCGAGGTAAACTAAAATTGAAAAATTCATAAAATTAAATCAAATTCATAAATATGCTATAAATCATTAATAGTTTAACTTAGTTCAGCATAATATAGTACTCTTGATAAGAAAAGAAAGCAAATCTCAATCTTAAATCTTACTCTAGTACTCATAAATTATTAAATGAAACTAGATTCAAGTTAGGCTCTCAATTAAAACTTTAATACCCTAAATCCTTTAAAATTTTTTTTTAAAGGAACATAGACCAAAAATAAATTCCAAAAGTTTGCTTAAATAGCTTAATAGAAAAAAAATTAGATGCCAATGCTAAAAATGTATCTAAAAAAAGATGAATTTTAAACATGAAGGGGAAGAGAAATGATTCCTATTTGCTTGTTGCTAGAATCTTGGAGGCATTGTTGCTTAGTTGTTAGAGTCTGCCAAAGTGCAGAGTTGAAGATGGAAGTCGGGTGATGACGATGTGTTAAGTTGTGGATACTAATTAGTGCCCTGTAAAAAAACAATGTATATAGTGACGGTACATAGGTTAACCTAAAAAAAGAAGGTTAAAAAATACAAAGAGTGTGCGAGGCCCTCTGTTTAAAATTGCGCAACAAGAAGCGCGCCTCTGCACAATTCTTCCCAAAGATGCCTCGAGGTGCATGCAATTTGGAGCTTGAAAGAGGCGTACGCCTCACCTTGTGTGAGGCGCGCCTCAATTGCGCAATTATGGGTGAGGCGTACGCCTCATCCAAATGGCCCACCTACTTAAAATGAGCCTTTTTTTCCCTACACTCGTTCGGCTCTAGGCATTTCCCGAAAGCTCCCCTCCCGCAAGCTCCAGTTCGCGAAACAGAGGATCCCGCACGGTCGGCCTCCAGTCCCGCCGCCTCTCCTACCGGCGTCACCTCTCTCCGACGAACTTGAAGCGTCCGGCCGCCTTCTAGGAGAAGTCCACAATCGATTTTAGGTATTTTTATTTAGATTTTGGTTAGATTTTTCAAGTTAAAGGAAATCTAGGGTTTTTGATTGTGGAAATGACTCTTCCTCCACTATACATAATAGAGGTGCACGGGGTTCTATGGATCAGTATATGACTAATCCAGAAGAGGATAGAGGACAAGCACAAATGATGATTGCGGCTGGTACTAGAGAGGGTCGATGCCAGGTTTGCATGGACATTGGCAATTTTTTTTTTTGAAAATGCCATACCATTTAATGTTGCTACGTCGCCTGCCTATTTCAATATGCCGCGGTCTGTAGGGTTTTATAGGAGAGGGTTGAAGGCACCTTCCATGTATGAGTTGCGAACATGGATTTTAAAGGAGGAGCTGCAGAACACAGAGCGGAGCATTGATGAGATTAAAAGGACATGGATTGAGACTGGTGTTACCATTATGTCAGATGGATGGTCTGACATGAAGAGCAGGAGCTTGATTAATATCCTTGTCAACAATCCCTACTTTATTCAGTTCTGAATTCTAATTATCTTTTTTATTCTTGAAAACAGTTGAATGGTGGATCCAATTTGGTGTTTCCACTCCTGAGTTACAGAATTTTGCTGTAAGAGTGTTGGGCCTCACTTGTTCTTCTTCTGGGTGTGAGCGAAACTGGAGTACATATAGTCAAGTGCAAACAAAGAGAAGAAATCGACTATCAACACTCATAATGAACTCCCTCGTATATATTATGCACAACAAGAGGTTAAGAGATAGTAGGTTGAGGAATAAGGGGTTAAAGGATGATGAGGACCTGTTGGTGTGTGATGATGTGTCATCTGATAATGAGTGGTTCATAGATGATGAGAGATATTTGCCATTATCAGACTTACAGCTAGAAGATCTAAGTGTGGATGTCTTGAGGGGCGAAGCAGTTCAAGTGGGCACATTATCCTGCTAGCTCTGCAGCACAACAATCAAGTAAAAGTATTCAACAACTTCTTATATGCTATCACATTATATTTATATCAAGTGAGCAATTAACATGATAATGATCTTTTCTCTTATTGAACAGGGAAGATAAAAGTGAGTTATATTGAAGATGATGATGATATGGCATTCATAGATATAATTATAGAAGAAGATTTCCTTGAAGACCCATTTAGTGATGGGATATGATTGCATCTTATATGTTCTTTGTACTTTGGGAGTTTTGTTGAACTAATATTTTGTGATTTTGTATATTGGGACATGATTTTATTGCATCTATTTTATTAATTTCCACTATTTTCATATATCATTTAGATTTTTTTATTGTAAGATAGAATATTGCTATTATTATCCTGCTAAAACCCTTAATTTCTCATTTACGCAATTCTGTGTCTGTGAGGCGTACACCTCAGACCGCCTCGAGGCTTACGCCTCGCCTCACGGACGAAAACCACCTCGAGGTTTAATTACGCAATTTTAAACATCGCCGAGGCCATTGAAGTTCTCTTCTAAAACTCCATTATATATATGAATTGCAACCTATATATTTGGGATCTATGCTTTGATGCTAAATGCTCTAGAATTGAGAAGGTCTTAACAATAAACATGCTGTCAACACTAGATGAAGATGGGGAATACCTAGGTGTAGAAATGATAATGTAGAATATTTATGTGGAAGCAGCCTTTTTTCGGTTTCTTCCTTTCAAGCTTCAACCAATATTAGGTTGTTCTTGATAGTTTAGCAAGGATTTTAGTGGATGGTTTTGTGATTACTAGGAGAGAGAAAACTATTAGAAACTAGATTTTAGATAGATAATGGCTAGAATTAAATTTATGTGATTGTTTTCTCCTCTTCTTGCTATTGATTCCTCTTGTAATTCTCATATCTTTTCATCACTTAGAATTAAATTCCAAGTTTCCTTTGTATGAAGAATAATTTGTTGGAAATTTGGCTAGTGCCAAATATAAGAAAGAGATTGTAGGAGTTGGGCGTTCCTTTTTTAAGAGAATGTTGACCTATCTGTAGGAGTTGGGCGTTCCTTTTTAAGAGAGTACTGACCTATCAAGAAAGAGAGAGAATAATTTAGGAATTTTTTATTCTCAATTTTTAATGAAAGATAATTACAAAAGTTTATTTATAGACTAAAAAAATCTCAAATCCCTGTTATTTAATTATGAAACTAATTTCATACAAGATTTGTGGGTGTTAATGGAGGATTTTTTTTTTCATATGAGGAAGGTTCTCCTTGTATAATGAGTGGTGTTGTTTTATTTTTTCATATTCTTATTCCATTACATTCATCTCCTCATTAAGGAATTTTTTTAGTAAAACACCCAAAACTCTCTCTCTTTTCTCTAGAATGCCCCACTGTGTGTCTGTATACCCACTTGCGCTCGCTCCATTGCACTGTGCTCATGCTTGCCTCACTAAACCACACATGATTGCGTCCTGCTCACACTCGCTTAGCTGTGTTCTGCGCACTTACCTTCTCCTTGAGGAACTACACATGATTGATTGTCCCGTTGTTGTAGCGCCGTGACACACATCTTTTTGAGTACTGCAGATTGGTAACATAGCACGATAACATTGTTCTCCATAAGATATAATTGTGGGTGATGCAATGGTTTGATTGATTAGGATTTGCTCTGACTCGCTTGATTTATCTATTATTATTGTTTGTGATACATGATTATGTTTAGATTTTTTATTAATCTTGCTTTGTTAAGTTTAGTCATGAGTGCTGTATACACTTCTAGTGTAGTTTTTCTATTTTCAGAATGACAGCTTTGATAATGTTTCAGCTCCTTTCTAAAATTGTATAAAGTGGTAGGTTTTTGTCTTTTGGAGGTTTCAAGAATCTTATTACTGTGAATCTAAGGCTTCGTTTGGGATGACTTTTTTATTGCTTTTTAAAACGGAGTTGTAGTACAAATTTTTTAATTTTTGTACTAAAACTCCGTTTTCAAAAGCAATAAAAAAGCAGTCCCAAACGAAGCCTAATAGACCTCCTTAGCGTGATTCCAACTTACTTGATTCTACATCAAATCTTCATTTTCTCTCTTTGTCCTACATAAAACATGACATTAAAAAGATTTCAGTATGTATGAGATGAACACGTCTGCTACGAAGTTTTCCCAACTTAGGCTTTGTTTGGGACGACTTTCTTACTGCTTTTTAAAATAACTTTCTAGTAAAAAATAAAATTTTTTGTACTAAAAAGTGGCTTTAAGAAGTAACAAGAAAGTCGTCCCAACAAAACCTTAAAATTCTTAGAACGTAATAATGAATTGTATCCATCTAACAAATGCTTAAGATTCAAAGTAATCTGACCTTCCCTGATTTGATGAATATTAGACATGCACGTATTTTTTTGAAGACGTATTATCTATCAATCATTTTGGAGAGTTATCACACTCATGTTCCTGCATCATCATCTTATTCTCACATTAGATTGTACTCTATCCATAATGTAAAAGCCATTAATGCACCTCACAAAATATTTTATCAAGCTTTTTATCTTTTTCATTTGTCAAATAAATTTTTATAACTTTTTTTTTTGGTTACTTGTGCAGATACACCGCTATCTCAGTGTATATGCTAGCTCAGGGGTCCTTCCAAGCAGTCTTTTTCATGGAAACCCTGCGAAAGTATGGAGTTTTTGTTAAATAACCAATTTTAGAGTAACAAGTTAAATATTTGAAATAAAGCTTGCTTGAGCCAGATTAGTTGCTTGAATTTTGAACACTATGGATATGCGGCCAATGTAATTTGTATTTCTCTTATGCCAGGACAGAAATGGGGACGTGCTGATAATTTCAGATATACCTGTTGTTTCATCTGGGTGGATTCATCACTGCCTGTTTTGGATAGAAATATTAACTCCAGGGTTGATTGTATGATCGATGCGGGCTTGTTGGATGAAGTATCTGACATCTACAAACCAAAGTCTGATTACACTCGTGGCATGAAGCAAGCAATAGGTGTACGGGAATTTGAGGAGTTCTTCAGAGTTTATTTTCTCAATAATGAGGCATTATATACTTCTGCGTGGAATAGCAACATCGATGTTCCAAATTCAGTTAACATAAGTCATATCTCAAAGCCAAAATTTGCAGACATTTTGCACTCCAAGGACTGTGAGCTGCGGATTTTATTGGTTGAAGCCATTGACAAGTTTAAAGCTAATACACGCAAGCTTGCTCGTCGTCAAGTAACTTTCTTGTCTCTCGGTTACATATCGATGAAAAATAGCTTTTGATGTTGCAATTTTTTACGCAATGAAACAAGAATATATTCTTGTTCTATAGTAATGATGATTAATTTGCTTGCTTGTTTACTTTTCTGTTTTTTGTTTTTTCAAAGAAACGAAGGCTGAATCATTTGAAGACAGATTTTAGCTGGAACTTGAAATATATTGATGCAACCAGAGCCTTTTCTGGTATTTTTAACCAAAGCCATCAACTTTTTACCTGAGCAAAGCATTTAAATGCTTAAAATCTTTGTTTGGCCATTGGCTAATTGATCTGGTTTTTATTCTAGATGAGGCATGTGATTGGTGGTCTGCTTTGGTTCTTGAACCTTGTGTCAATATCGTTAGAACATTCTTGCTAGAAGGAGCTGACTCTTTCATTTCCAATGAAATATCAGATGATATACTTAAGCAGCGGCTGGTGTCAAGGGAACTCTGCACTCAATATGTTTGTGAGGTTTAGTCCTATTGGTGCAATAACATATCATAACCATCATGATTTTGAGAAATGACACCTTAACTAAGCTCGGTCTCTCATATGATTTAGGTTTCATTTGGGATGAATTTCTTATTGCTTCTTAAAACAGCTTTCTAAAGCAAAAATTTTAATTTTTATACTAAAAAAAATGCTTTAAAAAGCAGCAAGAGAATCGTCTCAAATGAAGCCTTAGAGGATTCTAAGGATACTCGCTTTCTTCTATTTATAGTTTTTACAAGCAAATGGTGCTCATATTGTTGTAATACTGCTAAATGCTTGTTCCCTTCACAGGCCTGTGGAAATCGTGTCCTCCGAGGAACACATGAATGGGAACAACATAAAAAAGGACGTGTACACAAGAAAAGATTTCTTCGTTTCAAGAAGTCCCTAGGGTCCTTCTCCCCTGATCAACATACAGATAATTATGCTGATGTAAGTAAGTTACAAATCATTGATTTCATATCTCCAAAACTATCAACATGAGGAGAAATTATTACGTGCAAAGTCCGGACGTAGAGTTACATTCGAAATCTAATACAAACGTGACACTTGTCATTGTATACAGTGTGTATAAATTTGTACAGATTGTGTAGAACTGTGTACACAGTGTGTATGTTATATATATAAGTTTGTACACACTATGTACATAATTTTGTAATTTGTGCATAGTGTGTACAGTTGTATACAGTGTATACAAGGACACGTGTCACATTTTTATTAGAGTCCGGACGTATCCGGACTACGACCGTAATAATTTCTCCAACATGAGACCCCTCTGGAGATCATATTATATTCTGCATCCTTCAATCACAGGCTTGTCAAACTTCTCTCATAGGATATTCTCTCTTTGATTTATTTGATTGTAACCTTGACAAGGAAGATCAGTGTTCTACTGGGCAAGGTTTTTGTACTCCTTGCTAGCTTGAGTTACTCTGTACTAGTTATTGATCAGATATACTATACATAGCAGTTTATTTTACTGCATTGCATTTTCAAATTAATTACTTTGATTAGTGTTAGTAGTGTAGCAATTAATGTAATTAAGCACATTTTTCCACTAATTTTTTTGTTTAGAGATTGAAGCTTCTTCTATGCTTGTTTGGTAGAAGTGGCACTTGAGATCTAAAAATCTTCTTATAATGATTAATAGTGGTGGAGGGAGAAAGCCTTCTTATCTTTATCGAGTCCTTTATCTTTTTGTATTGTTGATAGAGTTACTCATCTCTTTATTTGTAATTTTTTTTAGATATCAATTTATATCTGACATGTTCTTCCCTCCGGCTTTGAAGATTTGAGTCATGAAGAAAATTTTTCAAAACTTGAACAAATAACGTATCTTTATAGCTGGCTCAGATTAAAAATAAAACAACAGATAAACAAAATCATACCGTACTATTTTATGTTGCAACGACGGTTTCTTACACCTACCGCCAGCTCACCAGGTCTCTATAATACCTAACCATAACACATCCCACAAGCGTACACAATCAATCTACTATGCCAACTTATGCATCATCCTCTTCCCCTATATTCATACCTATTGAAAAGGCTTCTTCATTACATCAAAGGGGAGGTTTAGTCTGGCCTGCCTATCTCCAAAGGTCCTTTTGTTCTCACATCCTCCGATGTCGACTGGGCAAGTGACCCGTCCACCCACAAATCTACATTTGGATTTTGCTCGTTCCTTGGTAATACACTCATCTCTTGGAGTTTTAAGAAACAGAATACCGTTGCAAGATCTTCTATTGAATCAGAATAACGGGCACTAGCATCCGCTATTGCAGGCATCATCTGGCTTCGCAGGCTGCTACAGGACTTCCATATTTCACTCAATCATCCAACTGATCTACACTGTGACAACACTTCGGCTATAACTCTCACAAATAATCTTGTTTTCCATGTAAGGATCAAACTCATAGAAATTGATCATCATTTCATTCGTGATCATATACATTCCAATACAATCTGCATCGTTCCAATCAACACCAAGGATCAAATAGCCGACGTTCTCACCAAACTGCTATCTACTCCACGCTTTCAACTTCTCAGATCCAAACTGACAGTACTTCCAGCACCGTCAGCTTGCTGGGGAGTTAAAAGAGCTAACCATCAACACTACTGATAAAACTGCAGCCACTACTAAAGATACAAATCTCCACCCTTAGGCTACAACAACCAAAGCATCCCAACCACACACGTCTAAAGCCACTCCATATCTTTACTAATAGTAATATATACAATGTAAAGGCTACAGAAAGGAATAAGAAAATGCTCACATAGAAATTACTGTCTCTACTTTTCCTTTACCTTTTCTCCTCACTCTGTTTCAGCAAATGCATTACTGCTATACTGTAATGTTCATCATTAGCCACTGATAAGGCCTGGAGGGATTATCTTGTTGGACACAGCACACAAGCCAATGTTAACCGAGTTTTGTTGGAGTAAATCATCTTTGATGCCCTTGTAGCAAATTAAACAATCTTCCTTGCGGGATCAGTAAATTAGTAAATCAGTAAATCAACGGTACTATAATCATTCAATTATAAGTAAAAGAATCACAGGCACATATGTGTTAATATTTTCAGTTTTATCCTCTTGCATCCATCTTATTAATTATATATAATCTATACTTGTATCCATTCATATGATATTTATGTACATATATTATTACTCTATTTATCAATGTTATCAGTATATGTATGCATAAGTATATGATTTTACAAGATAAAACATTCAACTTTAATATAGTATGTCATCCTTTCATCTGTTCCCTTTTTATATCATTATATTTTATCTTTTATCATTATTATTACAGATGGCTTTCAATAATCATTAAGAGTCGTCATCTCTGTCTGTCGGCATAATTCGATTATCCGTTACAAGCTACAACTGGGATAACACTATAAACCATCTTTAAATGAAAACCCATTGGCTCACCCTTTTGTGCAGGATATTATGTCTTAACAGTCAACCCATTTTATAGTGTTAATAACCAATATTTCTTGCTTATGCAAATGTCACAATTAAAATGTAGTGTGAAATAGTCAATTTTGTTCAAAATAAGAAAATCTATATAATATCTATTACTTTAGAAAATCATCAATTTAATTCTATCTGATGAAATTCAATGATGTTATATAATCAAAATGTTTACACTATTCATATTTATTATATACAAAAGTTATATGGTAAAAACTTAATTAATCACGAGAAAATATATTTTTTTAAACTATTTAGGAGAGAAGAAATTCCCCAAATTCAAAATCATGGAGAACTAAAATGAGATTTAGGTTACTAACAATGAATAGAAGAAATCTTTGAACGACATTGACGGACGAAAAAGCTTCGAAGAATCTTATCCCTCCTCTCTCTATCTTTATTCTTTGACAAGGCACGACGCTGAAATTCAAAATTTTTATTTAAAAAAAATATTTTAAAAAATTTGAGTTATTAGCTCATGTCCGCCATCTCAATTGCAATCATCCTCGCATCTTCTTTTAGCTCTTTGAATTTGTAAAAATATGGGGGTTATCTATTTAGGTTTGTTCTCCTACTAGGAAAATTATCTCCATTAATATTTATATAAATTTTGTGTAAAATATTTCTTGTTAGTATTTCTATAAGAAATTTAGAATTTACTCCCAAATTAGATGTATTTCTTTGAATAAGTTATTTTGTTAATTCATTCATTTGTAATATTTTGATTTAAAATAGGATGGTGAAATTTGCACTAATTTAAATTATGGTTATTACATGCACTAAAGGCTTGGGCACATCTATAGAAATAAAATATTTAGTAGGCTAATTATATTATATCATGTTAAGTTTTTTTAATATTAATCATAACAAGTCAGGTACAATATTATATCATGTTATATCAATAAGTATATTCAAATAACATAATAGTGGTCAACTCAATCCTCAACTCCCAAAGAAATTATTATATGCGGACACCTGACTGTACAAAGATGAATGAGAGCACGTCACGTCATTCGGTACGCAGCGGTACATAACAAAAAAAGTGATGTGGTGCGCTCTCATTCGTCTTTAGATGCCGTCTGGATCCAGACAGAATAATTAATCGAACCCCCATCCCATCAACATTCAAAACAAAACATTTCATATTTCGACCTTGTGTCTTTTATCTTATATCGAATTCACACAATTAATGATCAAATTTAAATAAAAGCCCGCCCGCCCGCCCGCCCGCCCGCCCTTTTGCACCACTTCACCAACTTGAATCATAGCAACCAACTATTTTTGGGTAAATATATTTCATTGCCTATATAATATAATTAACAATTATAAGCATACTTCCTCATTTATTAGGCATACAAAAATTATATGTAAATAAGAGATAATGAGGTCCATTGGATGGCAAAGTGCCTATCACCACAACTGCAATCATTTTGAAATACTTGACCGTTAAAAAAAAACAAATTCGAGTATGTACTCGATACGTTTATGTTCATGAATAATATCAATTAAAGCTCGTGAAGAAGCTTGATATAAAGCTCACGAAGAAGCTTGATTAAATCGTTATTTTGTATATTTTCACATAATTTTTAGTTTTATTATAACAAATGATTCTTATTTTATAAAAAAATAATTATCTGTTATGTATTACTTTTTCAATAAAATTAATATGTTAATGAACAAGCAGTATTTGTTCATGTTAGCTATTTTTTTTTAAGTGTTCGTAAATAAGTTTGTTTATAAGAAGAATCATTTTAGGAGTTCATTGTTCTTTAACGGTCTCTTTTAGTATATAAAAATCACACTATATATATTCATGAACGGATTTGTTTGGATTATTTCTTGAACTCGTTTGTTTAAAGCTCAATAATCATAACCAAACATGGCCCAAATGCAAAATCAAACATGGACATCTATAATTTTAAATGAACCAAATTTTGAAAACAAATAGAAAAGTTAAAATCGAGCTCAAATCCCGCTTTCACAGCAAACTTGTCTGGTTATATATCTAGTTATATATTTGCTGGCCTTCACTAATTTCTTCCAGCTACCCACCACTCTTCTCCTTCTCCATATAAAGAGAAAGTTAACGTTCAAATCAGCTAAACCCAACCACCATCAATGGATTTTTCTCTTAATCTTCTTGTAATAACCACCACTTTGGTTTTGCAGTACCAAAGAGAACTACAACCTATGATGTACCGATACTTTTCCTCAAAGAGGCGTGCAGTGTCCGACACCGTATCCGACACGACACTCGTCCGACACTCCTCCGACACGTGTCGGACACGCCGAAAACGTGTCCGATTAAAAAAATATTAAAAACAAATTGGACACGCGTGTCGGACACGCGTATCTTAAAATATTTTATAATTTTTTTAAAATAGAATTTCTTATATTTGGAAAGATTTAACTAAATTTCTTATTTATATCCACAAACACCAAATCAAGTCTGCAATTTAATACCCATTTTCATCGAATATTCCATTTTTTATTTCTCTTTGGCTGGTGGGAGATATTTTCATCTCCCTCTTTTTGCACAATTACAAATCTTTCTCTTGTTGAATCAGAGTTGAAAGTAGAGATATTCAATGATGATGATATTGAAGGGCCAAAAACAAACCTCTAAAGCTAATCCTAGTAGTTGAAGCTAAATGCTTGATGTTGTAGTAAGTTGCATTATTTGCTTATATTTTTGTGGTATGTACTAGATATTTGTACTAAATATTTTATATTATAAGCTAGACAAGTTATCATGTCATTCATTTATTATGTGTTTGACATTTATTTGATATTACATAATAATATATATACACTATATAAAAAAATGATTGTCGTGTCCGTGCCGTACCCGTGTTCCTATATTTCTCAAAAAAAGCCGGTCCGTAGTCGTGTCGATGTCCGTGTCGCCGTGTCCGTGTCCGTGCATCATAGACTACAACACTTGCTTAAAACTGTCTTCCATTCAGTGGAATTATCCATAAAGTAGTGCAGAGGCTGCATATCTGCGATCGCCTGGACCAATGAC